GATTTTTTGATGGCTGCATAATATTCCATTGTATATATACATACCACATTGTCTTTATCCATTCATCTGTTGATGGACATCTTAGCTTTTTCCATAGTTTAGCTATTGTGGACATTGCTGCTATAAACATTGGGATGCATGTACCCCTTCGGATCACTACATTTGTATCTTTGGGGTAAATACTCAGTAGTGCAATTGCTGGGTCATAGGGTAGCTCTATTTTCAACTTTTTGAGGAACCTCCCTACTGTTTTCCAGAGTGCCTGCACCAGCTTGCATTCCCACCAACAGTGTAGGAGGGTTCCCATTTTTCCACATCCTCGCCAACATCGTCATTTCCTGACTTTTTTAGCCATTGACTAATGGCTAAAATTGAAATGACTAATTTTAGCCATTCTGACTGGTGTGAGATGGTATCTCATTGAGGTTTTAATTTGGATTTAACTGATGCTGAGTGATGTTGAGCACTTTTTCATGTGTCTGTTGGTCATTTGGATGTCTTCTTTGGAAAAATGTCTGTTCATGTCTTCTGCCCATTTCTTGATTGGATTCTTTGTTCTTTGGGTGTTTGTTGAGTTTGATAAGTTCTTTATAGATTTTGGATACTAGCCCTTTATCTGATATGTCATTTGCAAATATCTTCTCCCATTCTGTTGGTTGTCTTGGTTTTGTTGACTGTTTCCTTTGCTATGCAAAAGTTTTTTATCTTGATGAAGTCTCAATAGTTCATTGGCATAAGGTTATTTTAGTCTTTCAACTCAGACTTTAAAGTAAAAATGTTATGATTGAACCTTAAACCTTTAAGAGGGTAATTAAATTAACTGGTGTAGAAAATAAAGAGAAAGATGATTTTTGTGATTTAATAAATAATAGGGAATTTACCTTCTATGAAACTGATTCATACAGTTTGGAAACATCTCTGTATCTTTTTGATATAAGCGGTACCCAGATAACAATCACCTATAATCTTTTGTATCAATGTTAAAACTACCTGTTTTTTTATATACAAAAAAAACTCAATCCTGCACTATTACAACACCTACATTTTTTCCAGATCTTTTTTTTTTTGCTAAAATGCCATTTTTTTAATTGCTCACTTAAAAAAAATCTCTAGTAACATCGTATTTAGGGAATGAAAATCAAACTCTTCAATACAGCATTGCCCACTCTCATAACAGCTTCTGTTTTATATGCTCCCTCCCTCTTACCTATGGCAATGTGCCACCAGTATTCCCCCTGTATTATACACCACAGTAGTATTGTATTGATAACAGCCATTAGGAGGATATGTGGAGTCCTAGGAACTACATGGCTTTTTGTCAGCAGTATTTGCCAAGACATAGTGTTGTTCTTGACCAGGTAGCTGAGTCTTGCTTGTACTGGTGTGTGACCAAATCTAAAAGAAATTTTTTTCTTTTTTCAAAGATTGTATTTATTTATTTGAGAGAGAGAGAGAGCACAAGCAGGGGGGAAAGGACAAACAGACTCCCTGCCGAGCACGGAGCCTGATGCAGGACTCAATCCCAGGACTCAATCCTGGGACCCTGGGATCGTGACCTGAGCCGAAGGCAGACGCTTAACCAACTGAGCCACCCAGACAAATGAAATTTTAATTAAGGCATTTCAGTTAAGTTAGACAGAGACAGAGACGGTTAAGCGTCTGCCTTCGGCTCAGGTCATGATCCCAGGGTCCTGGGATCGAGCCCCATGTCGGGCTCCCTGCTTGGCGGGAAGCCTGCTTCTCCCTCTCCCACTCCCCCTGCTTGTGTTCCCTCTCTCGCCGTCTCTCTCTCTCTCTGTCAAATAAATAAATAAAAATCTTCAAAAAAAAAAAAAAAGGCAGAGACAGAGAAATACTGGGTGATAATCATTTATATGTGGAATATAGAAAAGCTGAACTCATAAAAAAAAAAGAATAGAATAGTGATTATCAGGGGCTCAGGAGAAGGAGGAATTGGGGATACTGTTTAAAGGTACAACCTTGCAACTAGCAAACAAATACGTCCCGAAGATCTGATGTACAGCATAGTGATTACAGTTAACAATACTCTAGGATGAACTTCAAAGTTGCTAAGAGACTAGATCTTAATTGTTCTCACCCCAAAAAAGAAATAGTAATTATGTGAAGTGACATCAGTGTTAGCTAACACTACGGTGGTCCTCGTATTGCAATATATAGTATCAAATCAACACACTGTACGCCTTAAACTTATACAACGTTTCATGTCAATTATATCTCAATTCTTAAGGAGACATCTTCACCTAAAAATGCATTTTATCCACTTCATTCAGAAACAAACAATAGCCAGAATCCAAGTGTAAGTCAATTTACAATATAAAAACTATTCATGAAAAAGAACATAATTAAAAGCCACAAATTAAACTTGATGAATTTTTTCCACATCATAGCTATTGCTCTGGCAATTCCTTTTTTTTTTTTTTTAATTTTTTTAAAGATTTTATTTATTTGACAGAGCACAAGGAGGTGGAGAGGCAAGCAGAGGGAGTGGGAGAGGGAGAAGCAGGCTTCCCACCAAGCTGGGAGCCTGATGCGGGGCTCGATCCCAGGACCCTGGGATCATGACCTGAGCCGAAGGCAGACGTTTAACTGACTGAGTCACCCAGGGGTCCCTGCTCTGGCAATTCCTTATTCACTCCCCTGCATCGTTGATTGTCTCCTCTCCACTGGATCTTTCTATTGACACATAAATATGCTCTAGTACTTCCCATCTTTAAAAAAATAAATTAAAGGGCGCCTGGGTGGCTCAGATGGTTAAGCGTCTGCCTTCAGCTCAGGTCATGATCTCAGGGTCCTGGGATCGAGTCCCACATCGGGCTCCCTGCTCCTTGGGAGCCTGCTTCTCCCTCTGCCTCTCTCTCTCTGTCTCTCATGAATAAATAAATAAAATCTTTAAAAAAATAAATTAAAAACCTCTCTTGAACCCACAGACCCCTCTAAATATTTTCTCACCTCCCTCTTACAGCAAAACTTCTGGAAGGGGTTGTCCATCTTGCTGTTTCCAGTTTGTCCTCTCTCATTCTCTCTTGAAGCTCTCCAACCAGCTTCCCACCTGACAGCTCTTACTAATAATGCCAACGATGAGCTCCACATCTTACTTGATCATTCTTATCTGTAGCACTTGACACAGTTAATTACACCCTTTCCTGGAAACACTTCACCTTGCTTATTGGACCCCACTCTCTCACATTCCCCTTCTCACTGGCTGCTCTTCTCATGCTCCTCACCTCTCCTGAGTCTAAACATTGGAATTTCCTAGAATTCAAGCCTTAGATCTCTTCTCTTCTGTAACTTACTCCATAGGTCAACCTTTATGGTGCTAAAAAATCATCTTTGTGCTCAAACTCAGGTTTCTATCTCCAGTCCTGACTTTGTCCTTTCATGCCAGACTTGTATATGTAATTGCCAGGTTGACACCTCCACTTGGATGTCTAAAGGGCAGCTCTCACTTAAGATGCACAAAGTTGGTTTCCTAATTTGCATCCCAGATGCACTGTTCCTTCAGTGCTGTCTATATCTGTAAATGGCAAGTCCATGTCTCCAGTTGCTCAAGCCAAAAACGGGAGTCTCTCCTGATGCTTGTCTTTCTCTCATCCTCCCACAGTCTGGCAACAAACCCTGTCACCTTGACATCTAAAACATATCCATTCGGATCACCATACAAAATTCTATATAATAAGTGAGTTTATTTACCTCTACCTTCTCTCACTAAATATTCATAAGCCATGGTGGGGGGCGGGGCATAAACTTCATTTTATTAAGTGCTACATCTCCTATTTCTGCAATAGTATCTGGCACGTCATAGGTGTTCAATAAATAATGACTGAATGAATGAAAAGGTAAGTGAATTAAATGTGGACTATCTTGGGTGATGATGCAAGCCCCATTTTCTGTAAAAATTCATTCTTTCTACTGTGGGCTGTGACAGAGCTCTTTACTAACCATATGTAAAAACCTTTCCCCCAACCTTCACTAGTTTCCATAGCTGCTGTGATCTTTGACTAGTCCATAAATTTACAACATATGTTGTTTTTAACCAGAAATCCAGAACTCAGTCCTACCATGAGCTGTGAAATAAATGAGTTGTCCCAATTCTCAAAACTTCTATACAGGAAGACCATCCAGCTATTGACCTCTTTTCTGGCACAAAAGAAAATTTACAAACGCCATAGAGAGCATCAACTCAGGACAAGAAGGATGGGAAAATTAGCTGTCTACCATCACATCACCCAATATTTTCTTCTTTGAGTCTCTCTAGAGCTAAGAAAAGCTGTTTCCTAATAACCCTTATATAAATGTCAGAATAATCAGATATGCTTTAAAAAGTATGGTATTCATAATCCTCCATGAAAACAAACAAAAAAAAATGACAAAAGCATGAAAGTATGAGAGAGTAAGAGAGGATTTGACAGGAGAGAGAGAGTGTGTGCCAATATGCACTTACATGTACCAAATATTTTATATAGAAAGTTTCTAGATTATTTTTCCTCAGGAAAATTAGCTTTATGAGCCAAGGAAAACACAAAGTTTTAAAGCATAAGGTCTTATGATTCACAAAAATAGACATAGTGAGGTCTTTCTTTCTAGGAATTAGATTCTGGAATAGAAAGTCTCCCTGAGATTGAAGTATGGTACCTTCAGTGGAGACCTTGGAATATTTCCCAAACACAGCCCACTGTCCACTTCAGAAATTAATTTATTATTTGACTTCATGAGATTCTCTTCCACTTAGCTTCTAATCCTAGCCATAAATATCTTGTTCACATATTTTCTCCAAATTTAATAAAGCTATTCAATCATAAATGATTGTTAAATGGCATCTAAGCACAATTTTTTTAAACAAATGTCAAGGTAGATATAACAATATCATATGCCACATATGTGATAGTTCAGGATTTATCATTTTTGCTGTGGTGAACATGCACATTTTAGAGAATTACAGCATTTTTGCACAAACAATGAGTATAGTTAAAATATCTGTTGGGGGTCTCAGCATGGAATCCAATTCACCTGGGGTCCTGGAATATCCTCCAGATAAGGAAAAATGGTTTCCCTGGTAAATTTCCATCCATAAAGTACATCTTCTGGAGTCACAATAATTTGAGCATTCTGTTTGAAACAAGTGAAATCAAAGTTATTTCTTCATACGTAACATAGACAATTCAACGCTCCAGTCTTCTACTAGCGCTCCTTCCCATCCCATAAATTATGATTAGCAGAAATAAAAAGAATACCTGCCCAGCTGCCTGATTAATCACTCCCTCTAGAAATCTATACTCTTGTTCATAAGGAGTAGGACGTTGTCCTGAAGAACAAGTGTTTCTGTGTTGTTGTTGTTTTCAGACTTTATTTATTTATTTATCTATTTATTTATTTATTTGTCAGGGGGTGGGAGGGGCAGAGGGAGAGAGAGAATCTCAAGCAGACTCCCCACTGAGCACAGAGCCCAACAGAGGGCTCACTCTCAGGACCTGAGCCAAAATCAAGAGTCAGACATTTAACTGGCTGAGCCACCAGGCGTCCCACAAGTGTTTCTGTTTTATTTGGCAATATAACAGCATGTTCATATACTGCAGCTATAAAAGTACCCAGAGCACTGACGTGCAGAGTGACTAGGGCAAAAATTGACACAGAGATTTGAAGAGAGAAAGTGATCGTGGCCAAGGTCTAGTGAGTTCTAAAAGTGAAAGTACCATTAATTTAGTATTTATAGAGAGGGAAGCATTTATATAACATAAAACTTACTGCCAGCTAGCGGGGTCTTATTTTATAATCTTATGAATATTATGCCTGACCACTTTTGTGGAAAAAAATATTGCAGTTCAATGAATACAACCAGAAAGGATTACAAGGATTGTAAACATTTACTATTGGTAAGATTTGATATCAAATTCAAAAAAAAAAATTCAAATATAATACAATTGTACCCTTTTACTGATAGAAAGAAAATAACTAACTCTCATGAGGAACATCATAATACAATAAACATTTCATTTATTAAATTACAAAAACTAACGATTTTTTTCTGTTCTGTTACATGATTTACATCATGTCTATTTTTAGAAGAGGAGGATGATTTTAAAATATTTGCTGCTAGGAAAATGTACTACAGTATAATATCAGGAACGAAGTTCACCCAAATTGATACTGACTTACCCATTAAAGACTAAGAACGTGTGCTCCATAAAAGCATGATTTTGTGCCTAGTTTATTCACTGCTGAATCCTTAGTGCCCAAAGCACTGATTGTGAGGTGCTGCTCTCTGCTGTCAGGCCAGCGAAGAAATCAAGGCCATTGCTTAGCCAGCCCCAGCCCTCAGGGAACTAAGCTTACTTCTCCCTCCCTCCCATTCCTTCCTTCCTTCCTTCCTCCCTCCCTCCCTCTCTCCGTTCCTTCCTTCCTTCCTTCCTTCCTCCCTTCTTTCCTTCCTTCCTCCCTTCCTTCTCTCCTTCCCTCCTTCCTTCTTCCCTTCCCTCCTTCCTTCAGAAGTAGATACAAGGAAGAAGTATCTCAGGCTGGTGATCATAAAGATAATCTCTATTATAACCCCGATAAGATATAACTTTCACTTTGCTAAAGACAAATTAATCATATAAAAGAGTTTTAAGAATACACATACATTATGTGACCTCTGATGCCTTCCTAGGACATCCATGTTCTCCCTTCCCTGATCCCAATCCTACATACAAGAGATTTTTCTAGTTGTTTTTTTAGGTTTGTTGTTGTTGTTGTTGTTGTTAATTTGGGCCTTTTAGTAAAAGTCATTCAAATACTTTGAGACAGTAGAGTAGCAACAAGCAAATAAAATTATTCTGTGTTTTCCTTCATACTGAGATAAAGTTCTGGGTGAAGGAAAGTTCTAAGAGCTATAAACATGTCTGCTCATATTTTCTGCTTTGAGTAGTATTTTCTATTTAAGAATGACTTCTTACCTGTATCATAGAGAACTTGAGAAAAGAGTCAAGCCCTTTAGTGGAAAATGTGAGGGGATAGATATTTTTATGAATTTGTAGCAGATTGTACAATCAATTATTAGTAAGTGATTATACCATATATATATAGTTTGTATATAGTTATTATATTAATATAGGTCATTGGTATAATATAACCTATTCCTAGAGATTGTGAGTGCTTTTAGAGAGCATATAAACAAAATGCTCACACTTTATAAGACAGGAATCTGAGGCACAGAGAAGCAGAGTAACTTAGAGAAGGGTGGGCAAATTCTCACTCTTGATTCCAGAATCTTCCCCTTATATCTAAGATATCATGCATGTGTCTGTACTCTGATTTAATGTCTGCATCCAAGTGCCTGAACATCGGAGCCTTTTAAAGAACCCAATTTAAAGTGACCACCTTGGAGCACCTGGGTGGCTCAATCGGTTAAGTGTTGAACTCTTGATTTCAGCCAGGTCATGATCTCTGGGTTGTAAGATAGAGCCCCGTGTCGTCCACGCTCAGTGGGGAGTCTGCTTGAGATTCTCTCTTTCCCTCTCCATCTGCCCCTCCTTCCCCCACACTAAAATAAATAAATAAATCTTTTTAAAAAACAAAGTAAAATGACCACCTTCAGGGCTCTCAAGCTTTTCCATCTCTCCAAGAATTATTTAGATCATGACCTACTTTCATGTGACTTAACTCACCAATTAATGATACTTCATTATCTCTTTTGCTTGGAAGCAGTCAGGTAAGCTGGTGAAGAAGATCCACAGTCTTTTCTTTTTGAGGGTAGGAGCAGAAACAGCCATATCTGTCTTTCCTGTCTTAGCGTCCCCAAGTTTCCTGGATGATTTTCTTCTCTTTGTGGCTATAAAAGAGAGAGATGGTGTTAAATAGGGTTTCTGGCTGGAGGGAGAAAGGGCCAATGGCTTCTGATGTGAAGTCAAGATGGTGACCAAGTTCCCTTTTTTCTCTGCAGCATTTCAAAATTGTTTCATTGAAATTGAGATGTGAGTAACAGAAGTAAAGGCATGGAAAACAGCAATTTAAATATAGAAAGATCCTTACGATATAAAGAAAAGGGGGATCATCTTTACAACCATTTGCTACAGAGGCAGTTGATACTGTTTTAAGTCTTTAGAATTCAATTCAAGACATAGAACTTTCAGGCAGCTCTTCCTGCCAGGGGTCCTGTCCCAGGGCTTTAATAAAAACTTACCTTTTTGCACTAAACCAAACAACTAACAAACAAAAAAACTTAGAACTTGCAGAGTTTAGATTTTCATGTTCATAAAAGTGATCGATTAAGTAAGGCTTAACTTCTTCAGTTTAGCTCAGTTATAAAATGTTACCTTGTCACAGGGAGCATTGATGAATCATAATTTACCATGACTAGTGCCTACTTGATAATTTACCATTTTGTGATGAATGGATTTAGTTACAAGGGTGAAAAGTCACAACTGATTCAAAATTATTTGGTCAAAGAATCACTATAAAAAGGGTCATAGCTCAAATATTTGTTTCTAATTGTGCATCCGATTGTCTCTTAGAACAGTGTTCAACTGGGGTAGGTTTTACTTGGGTAGTAAGGTAGAAGAATAGATGTGGTTTCTGCTTTGCACTCGCCTTCTTTGAACCTCTATCACTCACCTAAGAGTTGAAGTAATCACACCTGCTCTATCACCTTCACAAGGTTACTCTGAGAGGCAAAGACACATCAAAGTCCTCTGTAAGATTATGATGGGATCACAATAATTAACAAAAAGGAGCGACAATTGAGTCATGTAATGATCCTGACTGCTTACTATTATTCGTTAAGTTTGCAAAACTACTGTTGTTCAGTTAAACGAATCTAGTCTACTTGGGGTACTTGCTGGGGAACTGCTGGGGAGGGAACGGGCCGGAAAGCACGCCCCGCCCCGCCCCGCAAGGCAGGTGCACATCCGCGGGGTGGTGGCTGCCCAGGAAAGGAGCCACGGAACTCAGCCACGGGAGGGCAAGGAGCAGCTCCAGGCTCTTACACAAGCTACGGGACCTCCGGGTCTGAGCTCTCTCCCGGATAGGAAATGATAATCAGTGAGTTAAGAAATAAAGTGTTGGGGCGCCTGGGTGGCTCAGTCGTTAAGCATCTGCCTTCGGCTCAGGTCACGATCCCAGGGTCCTGGGATCGAGCCCCGCATCGGGCTCCCTGCTCGGCGGGAAGCCTGCTTCTCCCTCCTCCACTCCCCCTGCTTGTGTTCCCTCTCTCGCTGTCTCTCTCTCTGTTGAAAAATAAATAAAATCTTAAAAAAAAAAAAAAAAGTGTTGGAAATAGCACGTACAATTATTGACAGCATTTCCTCAAAGACAGCAAGGATGACCCAACAAAGAGAAAGCAAGAAACAGAAAAATCAGGCCCTTCTCTTTTTTTTTTTTTTTTAAAGATTTTATTTATTTATTCATGAGAGATACAGAGAGAGAGGCAGAGGCAGAGGGAGAAGCAGGCCCCCCGCGGAACAAGGAGCCCAATGCGGGACTCGATCCCAGGACCCCGGGATCACGACCCGAGCCGAAGGCAGATGCTCAACCGACTGAGCCACCCAGGCGTCCCTATCAGACCCTTCTCTTAAAACTACTTTCTCTTGATACTGTATGCCACAAAAAAAAAAAAAAAGGAAGAGGAAGAAGAAGAAGATACTGTACCCCCAAAAGAACATGGTGAGAAAGAACAACGTTGCTGTCCTGCCCCTGCACTGGATTCTCGCATGTGTCCTTTGCAAGACGGTTTGAATCAGCCTCTGAAAGGAAATGGCAGCTTGAGCAGAACCAGCCTGAACTTGAGCAGAGCCAGTGGGAACTTTAACCAGCCCTCCTCTGGCTCTTCACTTGTGTGGGCACTCACCTCTTCAGACAGTTGATGCAACCGAAGCCAAGAGAGGGTCAGATAATAATGATGCATGATAGTCCAGGGGTCCTTGAATGCCTGCTGGATGGACAGAGCTATGCCACAGGAAGTTGCCACTAGCTAACTGTTTTTGACCTACAGCAAGGGCGACTTCATGTGGTTCAACCTGCCCCGCTGCTTTCTGCCCTCAGAAGTTTAGGACCGTGGGATGCTGCGCTGCAGAGAGCAGGTAGCATGCTCCCATACTGAGGGCCCCCACTTCCTCAAAAGAAAAGCAGTAACGGGCTCTCTTGTTGATTTTATTTGCAGATTGTTAACTTTCTTTTTTTAAAAAAGATTTTATTTATTTATTTGAGAGAAAGAGAGTGAGAGAGCACAAGCAGAGGGAGGGGCAGGCAGAGGGAGAAGCAGGCTCCCCGCTGAGCAAGGAGCCCAATGTGGGACTCCATCCCAGGATCCTGGGATCATGACCTGAGCGAAAGGCAGACGCTTAACCGACTGAGCCACCCAGGTGCCCCCAGAGTGTTAACTTGCATTCTGATCCAACTCTGCCAAAAGTCCATTGCATTCACCAACAGGAACTTTAAAAAATTCTCTTGGTTGGTGCTATAGACTGAAAGTCTGTGTCCTTCACTGCAAACCCCCCCCCGCCCCCCATCATAGGTTGAATCCTGGTCTTCAGTGTGATGATATTTGGAGGTGGAGCCTTTGGGAGGAGGTTAAGTCATGAGGGCGAGGTCCTCACCAGTGGGATGCCTGCTCTTATAAAAGACCCCAGGGAGCTTCCCTGCCCCTTCTACCCTGTGAGGACCCACTGAGAACTTGGCAGTTTGCAGCCAGGGAGCAGGTCCTCACCAGACACGGAACCTGCAGGGGCCTGGTTCTTGGGCTTCCCTGCCAACCGAACTGTGAGGAATGAATTTCTGTTGCTTATAAGCCACCCAGTCCACGGCGTCCTCTTACAGCAGTCTGAACTGACCAACACAGCCAGATTCAAAGTCAGGATAACTGCCACCAAGAGAAATGGATCAAAATCACTTGTTTCATTTATGAAGCTGTTGAAGAAACATGTTTTTGAAAGGAAATGGTACAAAAATGAAACTGAAATCTCAGAAACTTACAGAGGAAAAAGACCAATAAAAATAGAAAAGTGTCAAGCTATGGTACATTTCTTGTTTTGTTGAGCAATATGAAGGTGCCGCAAGAATTTGCCATAATTCACCTTGTTCATTTTCAGTGAGCAAGGACATAGAAAACATGTCTGAGGCCTAAGATAACTACTTACAGGTTCTGTCTAAATGAAGCCCTCCAAGCCCCTGGGATCCCATCTGCTTGTTTTTTTCTCAAAGCCTGAGGCTCCTCCAATCGCCCCCACCTTCCAGTTTTGTTTTACTTTCCAGGTGAGCCCCAGCTGGCCAGAGGTTTCTGCCACCTTCGTCCAGCACCAGCAAAGGGAGTCTTTGTTTTATCCTCGCCTGACAAGTCTGATTTCTGGGGTTTTCTTTCAAGCAGTCATAGAGACCAGGTTGACACTGGCGGGGTGGGATTGCATGATTTCTACTGAATGATGACCAAATGGCCAGGAGAAGTAAGAGAGCAATAGAAGCTGGGCATTTTCTATTTCTCGAGGCCTAAATTGACTCTTCAATTCATGTCATATTCTCTTGAGCACACTGTTCTTTTATTGTTACATAGATCTACCCTAGAACTTTCCTCAAGGTGGAGATAACTAAATTCTGTATGGTCCCGCATCTAATTACCGTTAACTTGGGTGACATGAGTTTTTCTCACTACAGTTATGAGTCATGATGGTTTCAGGCTACGGTTAAGGACATACACCCTGAAGCCAGAATGCCTGGGTTCGAACCACTTTCTAGCTGTGTGACTGTGAGCAGGTTATGTGCTGGTTTTCCTCATCTGTACAATGGTGATAATGTGTGCTAAGTCATTTTTGCATTATTATTATTGCCTCAGGCCCACATGACAGGGGCCCCATTATGAAGGCAATGCCCAGTGCATCTCTGAACCACATCTTTAACTCTTGCTGGTCAGAGGCCCACCTGTTCCTAACTACTAACTGGTTAAAAGCACATCAATTAATCCACATTCTCTATTTTCTCATTTTTCTGTGTCTTTCCACAAAGTTTTTCTTATTTCATCTCTTCTATGTCAACCTAACCAGAATGGTTTCTCCTGAAATTGTTCAAGTCCATTTCTACTAGGTAATCTGGATGGTTTTCCTTCCAACACTACCATAGATTCTCCCTCTGATCAATAGCCCTCTATCCTTATTTCTTGCATTATTCTATTTTTTTAAACCTCACACTCATACAAAAAAAACTTACCAACAAACTGGATCACTCATACATTGCCGTTGGGAATGGAAAATGGTACAGCCACTCTGGAAAACAGCTTGGCAGTTTCTTATAAAAAAAAAAAACAAAACAAAAAAAAAAACTATCCACAGCCTGGCCCACTCCAGGATGGCACAGTAAATCGGGGATGTGGGGCAGGGTCACTGTGCCTCCTGTATCTTCTTGTTCCCTGCTCTGGAAGAGAAGATAGGACAGTGTGGAGAATTTAGAGACCCCAGTGTGGGGAGAAACTATAAGATGTTTCTTCCATTTCTTATGGGCTGCACCGGTAACTAAAGTGACTAAATGCCAAGACAGAGAAGAAACGCTGAGGTTTTGTGTTTGTCTGCCTTGAACATGCAGAACCCCAGTCTGAGGCCATAGCTCTGCTAAATGGAATTCATTTATATGGAAGATCAATTAATATGCAATATCCATTTGGGAGTTAATGCTCTTCTGAATCAACTAACCACAGTCTTGAAAGCTGTGTTAAGATAAATTCACTAGCTACAGGAATGAAAGTTGTGGGCAGACCTTAACTGTCCCATGCAGTTTTTTTCCAATTAATAACACTGCTTTACCTCAAGAATATGTTTTCTTCCAGAAACTTTGCAGTGGCATGCATAATCCAGTGCTGAAGCTACCTTACTGTCCAATGATGGTGCCGCTTCCTAACAGACCCCCCTAGCCCGTCCCCGTCTTATTCCAGATCCAGAGATTGGACCCAGCTCTTAGGAGTGGACTCACCAACAAACAAGTGACTCTGATTTTTATCAGACAAGTAAACAAAAGAGGCAAAAGCAAATCGGTAATAGTGATAGAACAGAAAGCAATCGAGGAAATGAATATAGCCCAAAGTTCCGAAAGTGTACAAAGAAAAGGTATTAGTATTATGTTCAAATGATATCTTTATCTATGCTGGTTTTAATTCTCTTAAAAGAAAAAAGAAAACGCTATCTGAATTCATCCAACAACTGATTTTATGGCTGTCACTTTTGAAATATATAATAATGTGACAACTAATTTGGTATTAAATTTACCTTGAATGACAAAAACTTAAAAATGATTTTTTTTGTATTTGTATTTGTCACATTATTGTTGAGCCATTGTCAACAAGAAATACGCTCTGAGTTGTTTTATTAGATCCCAGGACCCTGAGATCATGACCTGAGCCAGAGGCAGACATTTAACCAACTGGCCACCCAGGCACCCTCAGAGTTGCAACTTTTCCTAATGAAGACTAAATAAGCAGGCTTTAGTTTCCTTGAATACTTTAGAAATATATTTTTTCAGTCTAAATATGTTGTTTTTGAACCTTACTCTTCTGTGAGTTTATTTCATAAATTGAGGACATATGACAGTGATACCAAAGGAAAGATAACGATCATAGGAGTGGTCTTTGTATTATTCCCTTTTGATATGATTGTATGTAAATATAGGTACCTGCTTTATTTCTCATTTATTAATTATATTTAGTGAAAATTAGTTGGCTATGCAGTATTATTGTCCATTTCTTTTGCCAGCTAGATTTGAGAGGGTATATTTAACATATTTAAATCTTGACAAATTAATAAAAAAGTAAATAGAATATTTCATTAAGGTATGATATTTAATATTTATTGTCTAAATCAAATGTCCTATGTAAAATAAGTGGGTTATTTGGGGGGAAAACTAAGTATCATACAATCCAGCAGTTGTATTACTGGGCATTTATCCCAGAGAAATATTTATGTTTGCAAAAAAACCACATGAATGTTCATAGCAGCTTTATTTGTTATAACCATAAAATGGAGACAATCCAGATGTCCTTAAATGAACAATAGTTAAACAAGCCGTATATCCATATCATGGAATACTACTCATCAACATATAGAAATTAACTACCGAGGGGCACCTGGGTGGCTCAGCTGTTGAGCGTCTGCCTTTGGCTCAGGTCATGATCCCAGGGTCCTGGGATGGAGTCCCACATTGGGCTCCCTGATCGGCGGGAAGCCTGCTTCTCCCTCTCCCACTCCCACTGCTTATGTTCCCTCTCCCGCTGTGTCTCTCTCTGTCAAATAAATAAATAAAATCTTAAAAAAAGAAACTATCAATATATGCAACATGGATCTAAAGAGCATTAGGCCGAATGAGAAAAAACAATCTCCAAAGGGAATATACTATAGGATTCCATTTATACAGCATTCTTGAAAGGATGAAATTATACAACGGGGGAACAGATGAGTGCTTGCCTAGGATTAAGGAGGGAGTGAGGGTAAGAGGGGAGTGGCATGGCTGTAAAAAAGCAAGATGAAGGATGGGACTGTTCTGTATCTTGACTCTATCCTGGTTTTGACATTGTACTGTAGCGTTGCAAGATGTTACCATTGGGGGAACCTCGGTATAGAGTAAACTTGGTCTCGGTATTATTTCAACTGCATGTGAATCAGCAATTATCAGGGGGAAAAAAAGTTTCAGAAAAATGATTTGTGAATTTTTACTTGCCCTTTTTATTTTCCTTTTGAATTAATTTGCATATCATAGATATGATACCTTTTATTATTATATTCTACATTCAGTCTCATTTTTTTTAAAAAAGGTTCCTTTAAAGCTGGGCATCTTTGTTACATTTAGAGGAATACAAATATATAAAAATATAAACACAGAGTGATTTCCCCTGATTGTTTTGACCTACCTTTTCAGCTCAATGTTCCTCTATCTTTACTCATATTTTTAACTTTTTTGTCATCTATTTTAGTATTTGCAAAATCATAAAATGAGGAAGGGCCAAAGTTGGTTTCATACAAAGTGCCTGTCGGGATATATTAAAAGCAACGTGTTTGGGAATGGTGGCAGAAACCTCTCACTAGAGAGCTTGGAATCTCTGCGTTGACCTTGAACTCCGACAGTCAACAGCGCTGGTGGTCCTGAGCCACGGTCGGGGCCCTCCCGGCGTGGTGTCCCTGAGAGCCCGGCCTCTGCGCTCCAGCTGGATGCAGCGGGATCCACCGCCTTCGTGCTTTAATAGCGGCCCCACGCGGCAGCGGAGGGAGCTGCAGGTGTTCAGCGGCAAGTTTGGCCACTGGGCTGAGCACGGGCGCAGCGGGTCAGAGTCACACTCAGTCCCGATTCTGCCCTGGGAAGTGGGTGGGCAGGGGGCTGGGTGACCGGCCACTCCTGCTCGCATGCGCTGGACCACCCTCTGGAGTGCTCACAACAAAGGCACTTGGAGAGAGGAGGGCAATGAAGAGTTCATGGGATTTGTGAAGGTTCAATTCTGGTAATTAATGCCAAACAGTTTTCCAAAACGGGTGTGTTGCTATCCATCATCCCCATCTCCATCATCTTTTTAATTTTTTTCGTTTTGGTGGTGTGAAAGGGCATCCCATCTTGGGTTATTTTGCCCCTTTAGGATTTGTTTTACTCCTATTCTTCCCCATCTCACTAAGAGGAACCATCAACCCACCCACACCCTCAAGCCAAAACCTCCAGTCACCCTAAATTCCTCTCTCCCCTGCCGTCACACGAGCAGGTCCTGTCGGTTCCACTTCCAACCACATCTTTTTCACTTCCTCTCCACCACTACCTTCATGGTCCAAACTACTCTCTCTCTCAAAGCTCCCATAGATCTCCCTCCATCCCTGCTAATCTACATCCCCACTCAAGTGCACAAGCAGAGACAATGACCTTCCTGAAACATAAATCAAATTCTGGCATTCCCTGTTGAAAAGCTGGCTCCTCCCTACCTCTGCAACATCCTCTGTTTACTAGATTTCAGCCATATGGGCCTTGGTGTCATCTCTGACCATGTCAAGACTTTTTGCATACACTAGGGAAGACTCTCCCTCAGGATGACTGCCTCATTCTCATCCTTCAGGTCTCAGTTCAAAAGTCTCCTCTCCGTGGAGAGGCCTTATCTAAATTAGGACCCCACACCGAATTCCTCAGTCACTTACTCTTTCGTATCACCATGTTTTTCCCTTCATGACAACTCTGGAGGATAATGGGAGATTCTGGTATTTATTTATAGTTTGTCCATTCCACCGGAATATAAGTTCCGTAAAAGCAGAGATTGTGTTTATTTTGATCACACCTAAATTCTTAGCATCTCGCAGCGTGTCAGTTCAGAGAAGTCACTCAATAAATCTTTTTGAATTAATACACAGATAAAACCATTACTTTTATTTAAAAAAAGTGTAAATGTGGCTACTACTGCATGAAAACACATCAGGAGGTATGAGAATGACACAAGAGGGATTCACTCATATCAAGCAACAGCATGGATTGCACTTGAAATCAGATGAATCCATTCCCTAGAATACAATAAGCATTCCTGTGAGCTCACTTGCTCTGGGAATGGGATACATCTACCAGAAATATGTTTAAAAAAAAAACAAGAACAACAGGTGGTAGAACTGAAATAGGGACAATAAGGGAAATGGATAATGTTCACTAAGCATTGTTTATAAATCCATATCCTAATTCAAAGTATGTTACAAAAAGGGAAGTCTGAAGTCATGTTATTCTTATACCTCTCACAAAAACAATACTTCTAGAAAAGCTGAGGGCCTGGGAATTTTATAGAGTTTTTGCATGGGAGGCAGAAATTTTGCCTTTTGAACAAGAACAAAAATCTTAGGACACAGAGAAAGCATGCCTTTTAAAAACTGATTTCACAGTAATTACTCTATACATTTTGAGTAATCTTTATATTACTTTTAAGCATATCAAACTAATTCATTTATTTCCCTGTTAATAAAGAAAAGGTACATTCACAGAATTAGTGCACTTAAAAAGTAAACAGAGGAAACAGGAGATCGAGAGTCAATAACCTCTTCAATGGCAAATCTGATCACCTCAAAACACAAACTTTTGCTGATTTTCAACTGCTCTTCTCATACTTAATGTTGCAAATATGGCTGGTTTAGCAGGCCAGCTTTTCAGGACAGCCCAACACAGGACAATCCAAAAATGCATTGAGACTTGTATAGAGTCCATGGAGTTTTGTGTATAATATTAAGAACACCCTTTTAACTTTGATGTTCAAGGCCAGGAGCATCCTTCTCCCAATGCGTATGGATCCAGAATTCTTAAGGCTAGATTTCATCAGGTAAGAGGGCAGTCCGTTCCTCCTCTGTACCCAGGATATTTTGGAGTTTAGATCTGCATTGAAAGAAAAAAAAGAAGAGAATCTCAATATTTCCCATCTTAAAAAAAAACCTAGTACCCACATCTCTACCTTTCCCCCTAAATGCATCTACCAAGTAATGAGGCTTTGAGTGCCCAGAAATCTGCTGACTGGAAAAATAGATATAGAATGGTTATTTCTTTTCCATTCCCACAGGTTGATTTTTAAAGGGGAAAAAAGCTCAAGAGTTGACCATACCTTCTTCTCCGTGAGTGCTCCCACAGATAAAACAAGCCCATCGTTAGTCCCTTGAAAACAATTAAAGGGACTGGTTAATGCCAATTCTTCAGGTCACATTTTTCCACAAATGTAAGGACGATGAAAACAAAAGACTGATTACTCACACTTGTTAGAGCCCAAAGGCCTTGGACAGCAGCTGCCCATTCAAAACCAATTTTCTCATACAGAAATCCACCCAGTGTTGGTCCTATAAAAGCACTAACAATAAAAAGAAGAGTCTTAAATAATGTTAACAACAACAAAAAGAATTACTTCCTAAAGGCTGCACAATTCCTCGATCATAAATCTTCATTAAATTGGAACTGTAAGCACTAAAGACAAAAGCCAGTTCCTGGACAGAGCACTGGGTGTGAGAAAACAATTGTACTTGATAATGACGATGTTCGAATTTTTTAAACAGTTCTAAAATTATAACTGTTTCTGAAAAGTTGGTGCCTTACAGAAAAGTTTTAAAAAGGTGACATGCCCCCCAAAAGAATCTTTATATTATTCTCTCTATTCTTCTCAGTATTTGTATTTATTTATTTTTTTAAGATTTTATTTATTTATTTGTGAGAGAGAGAGAGAGAGAGAGCACAAGCAGGGGGAGCGGCAAGCAGAGGGAGAAGCAGGCTCCCCGCTGAGCAGGGAGCCCGATGTGGGGCTCGATCCCAGGACCCTGGGATCATGACCTGAGCCGAAGGTAGACGCTTAGCCAACTGAGCCACCCAGGCGTCCCTCAGTATTTGTATTTAAAATAATTTAATTTGGTACATATTTATTGGGATATACTACAATGACAGCACATGGTTACCCCCCAGGTATAGCAAAGAGTAAAAAATAAACAAATGAATGAAGAAATGAATACATTTTTAAAACTTGAGATACGCCCATTAAAGGAACTTAGAAAGATCACTTAAAAATGACAAAACATAGGGGACCATTTTGATGAGGTTTTAAAGCTGCTGGTATAACCACTGATCTTAGAGGCAGAGGGGGTGGGTTAGGACTCCAGCTCTGCTCCAAACAGATTAGGTGCCTTTCGGCAATTCATTGGACTTCTCGGTGTCAATTTCTTCACGGAAATGAAGACAGCATTTTCCATCTGGCGGGTGTGAATGAAATGGCTACTCACCCAACTGACCACATTGCACTGAAGAGACCTGACACGAGTCCCAAGGTGCTTAATCCCTCTTCAAAGCCATTTTCGCTGCAGACACACAAGAGTAGATGTTATGAAAAGGGAAACCTACATGAAAGCAAATAGTGTGTGACAGGTAAGTTAAAATAGACCGGAAATGATCTGAACAAAACCAACAGCCAGAACACTCCATTTCTAAGATGAAAAGCTAATCTAATTTGAAGGAATTTTCATAGTTATGTTGACTCTGTGGTTTTCTAAAAATAATTTTATTGCATACATAAAGCATGACATTGAGTCATGACCCATTTGCATGAAATCTCATAAAAAACACATAATTAACGAAAAAAATCTTAAAATGAGATGAACATGCAAGGAGAATAACGGGAAACTTTTAGAAAACCCAGAGGCAGCTCCTTATTGCTCGGAGAATTGTTGACTTGAGCCAGCAGAGCTCGTGCTATTCTCCCTGCTCCAGATCCCTTGGTGTTCTTCGTCATCATGCCTCCTAAACAAAAGACTGGTGGCCAAGTGACAAATACCTGCTGTGATACTGGGATTTATAATAAGAAATATATATTTCTTACTATATAACAGGAAGACCTCCTGTTTCTGGCATAGAGCCCCCAATACCCTTGCAATTTCCTGGGGAAAGCAATTTCAAGTGCCTTTGGTCATGTTAATGAGTTGAGTCTTAGGGGCTGGATGCCAGGAGAGCCAAGCATGTGATTAGAGGGTTAGAACCTTCAGTTCATTCCTGGAACCCCCCACCTCTGAGGAGGGGACAGGGGTTGAAGGTTGAATCCATGGCCAATGGTCACTGATTTAATCAACCGTGGGTATGTAATGAAGTGTCCCTAGTAAACCAAAAGGACAGGATGAGAGAGCTTCCAGGTTGGTGAAGCAGAACCCTTCCATATGCCAGTGTGCGGGGCCCCAAACCCCACAAGGACAGAAGCTCCTTTTATCAGGACTTCACCCTGTGGATCTTTTCATCTGCATGTTGATTTATATCCTTTAATCTCTTTTGTAATAAACCAGTAAATCTAATGAGTACACTGGTTTCCTGAGCTCTGTGAATCACTCTGGCAAATTAATTGAACTTAAGGACGTTGTCATGGGAACCTCTGATTTACAGGCCAGTCAGTCAAGTACACGTAACAACCTGGACTTGCAATAAGCACCTGCAGCACAGGGCAGTCTGTGGGACGGAGCCCTTCACCTGTGGGATGTGATGTTCTCTCCAGGTAGATAGTGTCAGAATTGAGTTGCGTTGTAGGACACCTAGCTGGTTCTGGAGAGTTGTTTGGTGGTGTAGGAACCACCCCCACTTCCTAAACCCCCCAACACACTGGAAATGGTACTAGAATCATTTTACCTGGTGATTGTATGCCCTTGTTGTGGACCTTCTCCACGAGAAGGAAACAATGCTGAGACCTTCCCATTGTGCTTTGGCTTTTCAAAAGTATATGTGTTCCTAGACATAAACCAAGCCAAGCCTCGATCCACAACTCATTTTACCTATCGCTGTATTAATATTACCATATATTGTCCTCTATACTATAGTATTATTGCATATACTATCTATATCACAATATTGTGTGACATAAAATCATGAAGATTTGGTCTTGTGAAAAAAACTCCAACATCCTACAAAACTGAGAAATTCAAGAAAGCGTGTGATGCTCCCTGCTATTCACAACACAGCTCCTCAAGCACAGAAGTAACTTACTACGCACAACTGAGGATCTCCGGGATAGTTGGGATTATACTCATTCCTGCAGAGATACCGTTCAGGACTAATATTAGCACCAGCAGCCAGAGCTGACTGCAAAAGAGTTTTGGAGAAAGAAACAAATCAAAACAACATTAGCATGTTGACAGACACAAAACCTCACATTAAGGAGGGCAGGCTGAATCCCAGAGATCTTGTTTCACAGATTACATGACTAGTCTGCCTCATTCCCATCTGATCCCACTTCATTCAGTGATAGCACCCTTACATTTTGGTGGGGGGGGGGAAATCAATTCATCATGATATCTCAATTTCTTTGGTCACACATGTTGCCTGGAGTCAACATGATAAGAGGTTATCACCATACAAAATCTTTTCAAAACTGGCTAAATGCTAATGTTGCTACTTCAATCACTTAGCTTTGAAGTTCAATTGACTGAAAAAAATGGTGTAGAAGGGAAGTGGTAAAGGAAGTGACAGGAAACTAATTTTGTTCCACTTCCTGCACTGTGCCATTTACTTAATATCCATTTCCCCATTAAATCCTTGCAGCAATATCCTGCCAAGTAAGCACTATGATCAGATAAGAAAACTGAGGCTCTTGAAAGCTAAATGATTTGCCGGAGTTCCCATATCTAGTAAGTGGCAAGGGCAGGATGCAAACCCAAATCTGAAGGACCCTGAGATCCTTGCTCTTCCATGTCACACTTTATCCCAGGATTACCTGAAAAGCTCTAAGCTCCCTTTATTTCAGCAAACAAATTACATTTAACAAGCTCCAATGAGCAGCTACTACATGCTAAGAATGAGACAGAAACAAAAGAAAATTTGATCCCAGTCTCAAGGATCAAGAAAGAACAGAAAAAACAAAAACATACTGTAAGAACTATCAGCTAAAAGTAGGTAGCAACAAATGCTATTTTTAAAATAAAGTACAAACAAGCGTGCAGTTGAAATGCAAAGGGAAAAGAAGCATTTTTCCTCATTTGAGATAGATTTTAGGCATTTCTATTTCTATTGGCTTGTACTACCGTTAGCTCCGAATAAGGTAAAATACTGCCAGTCTAACAAACAATTCACTATAGTCCTAAATCAAGGTAATTATTGAAGTAATAAGGTTCAAAATATGAAGCCATGCCCTCGTCCCACCAAAAATTTCTTTAATAATTCTTAACGCTATTCTGCCAAAAATGCAGAAAGAGGAAAAACATTACCTTTTAATGTGCAAGACTGGGATAGGTCCTAAGAGCATGTAGCATCCTGCCGTAATTATGTTTCCCCAAACCAGAAACCATTTCCTCAGATGCTGGTAAAGAGAAGGAGAGTCCAAAAAAACCCTGAGAGGTAAAGCTCCTCCATAAACAAAGCATATGCAAAAAAAATCATTGAAGAACACAAGCCAGGACATGAAAAAAATCCAAATACATTGAAGACAACAAAACTTTACATTTAAGAGAAAATAGGTAGCTGGTAAACAGAAAAGCAAAGACAATATACCCCGAGCTAGGGAGTTTCTAAGGACAGGGATTCCTTGGGAAGGGAGTGTATTATAGATTTTGCACACGATGAACAATTCCAAAAATAACAATTTAAAAAGCAGGCACCACAAGGAACTACCTGGTAGATGCAATCCACAGTCACATTATTTAAAAAGTACCCAATAAAATTATTCCTTTTAAACTACTTGAGTGCAGGCTGAAAATTCTTGGGGCAAAATATCTGCTCAGTTATAGAAGATGGTCTTAACATGTATCATATGATCTCACTAATATGAGGAATTCTTTTTTTTTTTTTTAAAGATTTTATTTATTTATTTGACAGAGAAAGACACAGCGAGAGAGGGAACACAAATGGGGAGTGGGAGAGGGAGAAGCAGACTCCCCGCCAAGCAGGGAGCCCGATGCGGGACTCAATCCCAGGACTCCAGGATCATGACCTGAGCCAAAGGCAGTCACTTAACCAACTGAACCACCCAGGCGCCCAATATGAGGAATTCTTAATCTCAGGAAACAAACTGAGGGTCGCTGGAGTGGTGGGGGGTGGGAGAGATGGAGTGGCTGGGTGACAGACATTGGGGAGAGTATGTGCTATGGTGAGTGCTGTGAATTGTGTAAGACTGATGAATCACAGACCTGTACCTCTGAAACAAATAATACATTATATGTTAATAAAAAAAAAAAAGAGAGAGAGAAGATAGTAGGAAGGGAAAAATGAAGGGGGTGAAATCGGAGGGGGAGACGAACCATGAGAGACTATGGACTCTGAGAAACAAACTGAGGGTTCTAGAGGGGAGGGGGATGGGTTAGCCTGGTGACAGGTATTAAAGAGGGCACGTACTGCATGGAGCACTGGGTGTTATATGCAAACAATGAATCATGGAACACTACATCAAATGATGTAATGTATGGTGATTAACATAATAAAATAAAATTTAAAAAAAGAAGTGGGGATCAAAAAAAAAAAAAAGAAGACGGTCTTATAAAACCAAGCTCCAAATGCTGTTTAAGACACTTGCTTTTTGTCACCCAGATTACGAAGCTATCACCATGTAATTTAGGTCTTGATAAATATTTATGTAAGTTTAATGAAGAGGAGAAACGCAAAATAAATAAACACTAAAGCCACAGAAGCTGGAGATTTGGTGATCAGTACTGTATACCAATCATCTGGACTGAATGGTTTAGACCTAGGCAAAGGAGAATAGAAGGGATTTTCTATCAGGATGGCCACAGGATAGCCAATGTATATTTATGTAGCCAATCCTTTCATGCCCACAGAAAATCTAAATTATCTCCACTCAATGTGCCCAAGTCCTAACTACTTCTGGGACTCCGCCCTAATTTTTAAGGCCAATCCCAATGTTCTTTTGCATCAGGGGACTTTTTTCCTTTAGAAAGTCAAATCCAATAGTTTGTCAACAGCTTCAGTACAGACTCCTTTTTCCCCAGAAGAAGCAATTAATAGTGAATTTTCTCAGAGTGATGGCAGGTTGGAAGACACTGGAACCTCTCCATCGACTCCAAAAATTGAATATAGAATTTAAATGTTCTTGGCCCCTCAAAAAAAAAATTAAAAGATGATATAGAGGTGATGGATGTGTTAATTAATTAGAAGGAAGGCACTCTTGTATTTGGATCCCAAATCACCATGGTGTATACTTTAAATATCTTACTATTTTATTTCTCAATTATATATTAATAAGCTGAATTTTTTTTTAAAAGATTGAATATCAATTCTAATCAGTGGACCTCTAGAGTTCCAGAAGTACAGTCGGAAAACCACTGGCCTAAATAAACAAAAGTGATTCTTAAATGTAGATTCAGTGTACGTACTGGTATTTTATCACTCAGTAGTCCAAACAATGGTGAAGAAATGGCATAGGATAGTGCCAAACCCAGGAATACCAGTCCCACATATCCAGCTGGTAAATTAAACTGTAAAAGAAATTTTATATTAGAGTTATGTCTTTAAGTCATTTTTAAAATAAACATAAATCTTTTCTAGCCACTTCTTCAGTTCTTGTCACCTTGAACTGTTACCACTCAGCATCCTTCCTAATTGTGATCTTACTTTTGTAAACGGATTCCTTTTTCTCTATGAGGGGAAGAAAAACCTAACCAGAGGTCAAAAGTCCTAGATGTCTTGCTTTGTAGCATTTGATTTTGAACATATAATTTTGCTTCTATGACTCATAGCATTTTTTACATGTAAACCAGCATTTCATAAACATTAGTGTGCATTAGAATTACTCGGAGAGCTTCAAAGACGTTCTTAGTTGGAAACAAGGTGCTAACGTGCCTTGGTTCAAGGGATGAAAAAAAAAAGAGGTTCTTAGACTTCAGCCCTAAGATTTCTGATTCAGAAGGTATGGGACGGGACCAGAGAATTTGCATTTCTTTTTTTTTTTTTTTTTTTGAGTAGGCTCCATGCCCAGCATGGAGCCCAACATGGGGCTTGAACTCACGACCCTGAGATCAAGACCTTAGCTGAGATCAAGAGTGGGACACCTAACCTACTGAGTCACCCAAGCACCCCAAGAATATGCATTTCTAATAAGCAACCAGGTGATGCTGACTGCTCATAAACTGAAATGCACTGGTGTAAAAAAACACTGAGGATGATATCTATCCTAACCATTTCAAAGGGATGTTAATATCTAATTAAAGAATTAGATGGTAGGATACATTACAAAAGGTTTTTAAAACAGTAAGCTACCACACAACTTTGACATTGTAACTATTACCACCTTTCTTTGGTTAACTAAGTTGTTCTCATTTTCCTTAATTTCCTTAACTAATTCTTTTAAGTAAGCCCATGAAATTTATATATCAGTCCATATGTGTTTTAAAAATTTTTATGACAAACTAGTCCTTTAAAGATACTAGTAGGGAGAAAAAAAGTCAGAGGTGTCTTCTTCTGATTTTATAACTGGGGGAGACAGGGTGGAACCCTCCTACCCTAAAAGGCTAGGTGACAAATGACCGGACAGTAAGCTGCCAATTCAAACAACTGGTGAGAAGTCAGAAGAATGGCAACAGGTTTTTGATAGAAAAACAGGAAAATACAAAGCTACATCTCTAAGTGTATTTAGAAAATGTATTTAGAAAACAATATTTGTAAAGATTTCTGATAAAATAGTTATGAGCAACTTGCATTTACCAAAGATTGGTTATGATATTTTTTCCTTGGTTAGGCAGAAATTCTTCAGAGGATAGAAAAATGACATTGTTGATGATGGGAAGGGCATGTGTCATCATAAACACAAAATATGTTTCTTGTTACCTCATGGATGCTCACGCAAGATATTATATTATTTTCTAAATGTTGGGCCAGGCACTAAAATCACAGTCTCCACAGTCTCCACAAATCTTTTTGGGTATCTCACACACCCAAAACCGTCTCTAGTGATTTCAAGGAGCTGTGTTTCTGGTAACTGTGCTTTTTGAATTCGCATACCTCACATACAGTGTGGGCTGCAGTTAGAGTTCTGCCTTTATAAACACATATTAATTCTTTCAGTATAATTAACTATCAGACTTAGTAATGCACTTTATCACATTATTAATCTTTTTTTCAGAAATATCTAAGAGCAAATTTCTACAACAACCAACTTTTAAATTCAACATTTATTTTCCAGCAATCAAAAAAAAAAAAAAAATTGAGAGAGACTCTTGATTCCTTTCTACCATCCCAGATTAATACATTCCATAGCCATTTCGTCGTATGTAATAGCCTAAAAAGTAAGTGGACCCAGAGGGGATCTGTTAGAGAAGAACATTAAATGAGCTACTGAGTACCCCAAATGTCTCACTGGAATTCAAACAAGTAGAGGAAAGTGTCCTTGTCGAGCAGCCAGACCTGTGATGACTCAAGCAAGACCTTGAAAAGGAGACAAGTATTCGGGCCACTTAGTGAAAAGCTTCTTTCGTTTACCCTGAATCAGACCCCTAGTCAAAGGGATGTCACAGAGGGAAGGTACAGGCTACACTGGGATGCAGTTCTCACCCTGTCTCCTTCTCACAGTTATCCAGAGCTCTTTCCACAAGCAGGACCCAAGAGCAAGCAATCATACCTACCTTCTACAGTGCAGAGCTCTTTGACAATCAGGTTACCTACCTTCTCCAGAACAAAGAGAGACAGAGTAGGATCAAGGAAGCCAAAACATGAGCTGAGCGAGTTGATGACGAAGGCTATGAGAGCGACCTTGGGTAAAGTGATGAGTTTCCAGAATGAGTGTTCGCCTGGATCAGAGTCTTTGGGTAAAAATTTAAAAAAGAAAAAAACAAAACAAAACAAAACAGAGTAATTAAAATTTTGAACTATTTTGAAAAGTAAAATTGGTAAGGCCATCTTTATTTGGTAATCAAAATAACTGCACCTCTGAGTTTGCCTAAAATTGCCTATTATCTATATTTGCATATAAATTATTCAAACCTAGAAGCCCGATTGAGTTTTCTTAAAAACAATTTCTCAAATTCATAAAGAATCAAGTGGAAGCATAGTGTGAGGAGAAGAGAGGTCTTAGGTTACAGGTTATAAATGAGAAGCAAGTGAGGCCTTTCCCAGATGGGGTAGAGAATATGTAAATTTAGATTTGGTGCATGGGAAAAGCCAGAAGCTTTATCGAGGAACAATGTGTGTATAGTGAGAAGGAATCTAAGTTCATCAAAGAGCACAAAACAACTTTTTTTTTTTTTTCTGATGGCAAAGAAAACACCAGATTGAGAAGGGTGCTACTGAATCATGCGTAAACTACACTGGCATTCAAGGTCAACTGCGCAGACCTCACTTCTAGCATTCCCCTTGCAGGAACCCAGCTTCTTCACTGTTCCCAGCAATAGGAATGGTTGTTTCCAAGCCTCGAGTCACATGCCATGACTCCTTTCTTTTCCTCCTGCTATTTTTTCAAATTCTATCCACTCTGTAAGGTCTGGCTGTGGCCCACAAATTTTACCTTCCTCTGTTTCCTACCTCACTTCTGGTCTCTACCACACCTTTCAGCACCTAAACTACATTTCATTTTACATTGTTTACTATTGTTTGGTGATTTTCCTATCTTCCCGTTAATTTACTGAGCAAAATCTTTGCTGAGTCAGATACCATGCAAAACGCTAGGCAGACAAAGGCAAAGAAGACAGACCCAGGCCCTGTCCTCACAAAGAAGTTACAGGAAGGAATGGAGAGAGCTAGGATGGAACTAGGAGGGAAACTTTCAGAGCATATGAGAGGACTGCCTTAACCAACCAAACAAACAAACAAAATCAGGGAAAGCCATATAAAGAAGGCTTCCCTAAAGTAGTGATATCTAAGTTGATGCCCAAAGCATGAGCTTAAGATGAGCAAGCAAAGAAAGAGGAAAGAATAAGCCAGGCACATTACTCCAGGAATGGTACCATCCAAGACTCAGAAGTCAGGAAAACTATTCTGTGTTTGAGGAAATGAAAGGAGAGAAGCAAAGCTGGAGGATGGAGATTGGCGTAGGGGTCACCAGCAGTGTGGAGAGAGATCATACTGCAGAAGCATGTTTATGCAAGACTCTGTAAAACATGCTTAGAAGCCTGAGAAGTCCCTAGGGAATCCAAACAAGGGGGTAGGAATCAGATCTGTGGTTAAAAAAGACCTCTCTGTGGCCTTGGGGAGAATGAAGACAAGGGGACCAGTCAGGATCTGCTCCAGTGCTGGACCAGAGACGATACTCGCCAGGTGTGGACATGGAAGTTCTTCGAGGGCGAGGATCAGCACTTGTAGATTCTCATTTCTCCAAAAACACTTGTCATGGTTCATTACTTAATTCTTGGTGAATAAGGATCCAGTATGGAGCAAAATACAAAAAAAAAGTACAAAGAATGGTTCAAGAATTTTGAGTGTTACATTTAGACTTGGTCAGGATCCAAGGGATAAAGTTAAACCATGATGTTAGTTTCTTATTTATCAGCCAAATAGTCAATGGTGAACCAAATGTGAGCACAGTCCAGGATGCTCAACTACAGGAGGTGTGCAGTTAGACTTAGAAAGAGGACAAACACCACCATATGGCTTGGTGCAAAAGGGCCAGCAGGGAGAGACTTCATTTGGTGTGGATTTTGAATGGTTTATTAAAGATGTTCATTAGTCACCTTTGAGATATAAATTATAGAAGATCAATTTTAATCGGTTATATTTATTTGCATATAAAAGGCATTATGGATTTAGGGTACAAGATAAACTATTATGGCGGAAATGGTCGCCTTCTCTAAATCCAAAGTGGGAAAAATGAGAAATCACAATGAGAATACCTAAGAACGCCCAAAGCAGCAAACACATGAGTTTAATTAAACTGTGGAAGAAACTCAAGTAATGAAAACCCCTTAGGATGAGATATCTGCTGCAAGAGACACATGGCAGAATCACCTGGGGAGCTTTTCTAAGCTACTCGGGTACTGTCTCTGCTCCCCACAATTCTGCCCTATTCTTTTAGGGGGATGGGACCCCTGGTTGACAATGCTGCCAAAGGAAGCTATTGTTAGAGGTGAGGAAGCAGGGAGGGAAGTGGGGTACCCCTTAGGTGTGAGGGGGCAGGAAAAATGCTGACCACCGCGGTATTTAGTTGGATGATTGAGAAGGTTCAGAAAGACTTCCCAGAAGAGGTAACACCAAGTAAGTTTTGAAGGATGAGGAGGGGTCAGAGCAGATGGGAAGGGGAGAGATTTCAGATCATGTGATTCCTCTACTGAAATCTCACAACAGTTCCTCATGGCTTTCAAGACAAAGTTCCCATTTCACAGATTTAGGGATTTTTAATAAGAGGACTGGCACATCACATCCGTGACCATTTTAGAAATACTTCATTAGAGCAGTACAGAAGAGGGGACTTGGTGAGCAGATACAAAGGATGAGAGAGAGGGAGAGACTAAAGTTGACTCTTAAAACCCCAAAGCTAGAACCACGCTGTCTTATGAGTCTAGAAGGAGGTAAAGGAGTGGGGTAGAACTTGTAGGACACAAAATTCTGCCAATCTCATCAAAATAAAAGAAAATTTCATTTTCTAGCTTCTATCCATAAGCTCTCCAAAAACATTAATTTTAGTAAGTACTCCTTCACAGGAACACCTAAATCTGTATTTACAGTCTTACATTATCAATCTCAGAGTTTTTTTTAATGCCAGTTTTTTCCATTCAATCTAAATAGAAGATCCTTCCATAGATGAACAGCAACTCTGCCAAACCATTTTGTTCATGAAAATATAGCTAACTGGGCCTTCGTTAAGTTCAATGAAAATGCCTGGAGGTTTTAATTGAGGAGTAACAGAAATGAGGAGAAATAAGTGCCAAGTAACTAGGCTGGTGGCAGTCAGGAGGGGCTGCAAAAGATACCATGTGGTGGGGGGAGGAAGGAGATAAGGAGAGCAGGCCAAGACTCTAGAAGTAAAGATGAGGGGGCGGTCCAGGGCCTCATCACAGAAGTTCTAAATACCCTGTCCTACCATGAATTAATAAGAAAAGTCTTTTTTCCCTACACAGTGTGGTAAAGCGTTGACAGAACTCTTTTCCCCACTGCATGAGACTCTGACCTGGTGTCAGTTTCTTGATTATCAGCCCAGTGTTCATCTGTGAACCAAGCAACCAGGATGCTCGACCACCGAAACCACTCTTATAAGCAGAAAGACTGACAGCACCACCTTGCGTTTCAGGGGGGTAGTGCTTCTCTAGAAACTTTCTCTAGCTCTCTCCTCTCCAGCCTTCAAGTTAACTCTCCAGCTCTGTTCCCTTCATCACCTGATAAGGGTCAAATGCCAACGATGTTACTAGGCAATCTCGCTGGTAATAAAAATAACCTTTTTGTGGTAAATGTCATCTGTAGAGAAGGAACTAGAAATGAAACACCATGCTTGGTGTCTCCCTGAGTGTGCTGACTCGGGCGTGTCCCTCATGGTGACCCTAGCAGCTATGTCCGTGCAGCTGTTACAGGATAGGTTGACTCTTATGTGGCATGAAGGTTTGAAGCCAGGGTGACCACCATTACTGCCCGATGCTGCTCTGTGTTCTCCCACTGGCAGCTGGGAGGACCACTGGGGAGAAGGTCTGAGCCCGCCCTCTTGCCTGCAGGCCTTCCAAGAAGGCAGTGCCATTTCTGGCCTTTGATAACTTGTCATTCTGAATATTGAATTAAGTCCAAGAAGACCTCTGATGGGCACTTCACAGGGGGATGTTTTATGATGAGAAATTAAATATTTGTTAGTTCTAAAGGTTAGAAAGAATTTGCAATATATAGAAATTCATATAACTGCCTACAGCAACATTTCTGAAAAGAGAATCAGGTCTTTCAGGGTGTTCCATAAATCTATTATCGATTATATAAAATAAAGTATTTGTTAAATTGGTCTCCTATAAAGGCATAAAAATTCTTAAATTTCAGATTCTTAAAATGAGTAATAAATGCGGTCTTACCATAATTAGGTAAAATGTACACGTTGAGTGGTACCATCAGCAGAACTATGCATCCCAGAAAAATAAAAGGCACCTCATAGCCAAAGGATTGATACAAGAAGCCACCTAAAGGAGGCCCTAACACTAGTCCCAGTCCAGAAAAAATCTCAAGACTTCCCTAAAAATGGGGGAGGGGGGGAAAGAAAATTGAGTCATTATAGTTTGTTTGAAGAATTAACAAATAAAGATTTAATGGACACTATCTGAAAAAATTCTATCCACTTCACAATTTATACACACAAACCCACACAAACCCAAGATGAGCCAAAAACTTAAACATACATATTGAAATCATAGAAATACTAGAAAAATAAAATATGGCAGGGTTTTTTTTTTTTTAAAGATTTTATTTATTTATTTGACAGAGAGAGACACAGCAAGAGAGGTGGAACACAAGCAGGGGGAGTGGGAGAGGGAGAAGCAGGCCTCCCGCAGAGCAGGGAGCCTGATGCGGGGCTTGATCCCAGGACCCTGGGATCACGACCTGAGCCGAAGGCAGGCGCCCAACGACTGAGCCACCCAGGCACCTGACAGGCTTTTTTTTTTTTTTTTTTTTTTTTGGTAATACTTATGGTGGGGAAGTTTTTCTAATTGCAACATAAAACTCACAAGACACAGAAGAAAAAAATTCATAAATCTGATTACATGAAAATATGAAAAACAATGAATGGGTTAAGTACATCAAAAGACAAATGAAGAACAGGGAAAAAATACTGACAAAGGACTAATTTCCCCAATTATATCAAGAGAGCTAATCCTAATCAATGGGGGGGAAAAATGAACAACCCAATAGGAAAATGAGCAAATGCTCTAAGTAGACTATTGACACATAAAACAAAATCCAAATAGCTCTTAGTATATGCCTAAGAGCTATTTGGATTTTGTTTTATGTGTCGCATGTAAAACAAAACTCATCCTCACTTTCAAAAGAAGCGAACGGTTAAACCGCAAGATACAAGTTTTAACCAATCAGCCATCAAACGCTCTGCTGCCAAGAAAGTGAGGAAAGCAACCCACACATACAGTGCCAGTGAATGAACACAGGAGGGCGATTTGGCAAATGTATCAATATTACAAACGCACACACTCTCTGACGCAGAATGCCATTCTGGAAATTTAATTTGTGGGCACAGCCGTAAAGATGTGATGTGGTATCTACACAAGCTTAGGTGTTGCAGCACTGCTCACAGCAGCAAAAGATGTAGACAATCTAAATATTTATCAACACTTTGAGTAAACTATGGCTGTACGTTACCTCCATGTAATGGAGAACTATAAAGTGCCACTAAAGGGAAAGAAAGAGTAAGAAACTCTTCGTATGTAGGCGAGAAAGAACTCCCAAGATGATTTCACTGTTAGTATAAGAGCAAGGCTCTGACGAGTGTAGAGTATGCTACCACCAGTGTAAAGGGAGCAAAGGGGGAAGGAATCATGTCCTGTGTGTGAGCATGTTCACACCTGTTCATACATACATGGACTCACTCTAGAAGGAAACTATAATCTCTGTGGCCTCCTGCGAGAACGATGCTGGACTGCGTGCCTGGACAACAGGTGTGCCCATGAAGGTGAGAAAAAGTAATACATAGAATACACTCACTACATTCTATATTTCCTTTGGCAACTTTTGAATTTTGCACCGTATAAAATTCTTTTTGGTTAAAATTAAAATCAACAAAACAGTGCTATGGAAGATATTGTACTATTAAAAAACTCGTATAGAAATTGTGCCATTTTAAACCAATCTAGTCTTTAGGGGTGCTAAGCAGAGACTGTGGCCGGCAACCTAGCATCCTCAGACCTCACAGAGGACACAAAAGTAGTCCATTGGTAACTTTCAATTTCATAAAGAATATAGGAATTCTGCATTTAGTCACAAGGAAACCATCCAGATCAACTACCATGTTAGGTGTGTCAGCTTTTGGCTGCAATTTTTATACAGAAATGGGGTATGGCAACATGAATCTCCCCTATCGATCAGAAAATCGAAGGGACTATTGCCATCATCACAGGAATTTCTTGGGCAGCACCTTCCAGAGTGTTCCACAGAACAGCAGTTCTTGAAGAGTCAAAAAGTGGTTCCATAGTCAAATTGAGTTGTGGAAAATTAAATAAAATATCTTTACTACAGGATTTCTCAGAGCCTTAATACAGTCACGTGAAAGTTGGAGGACAGCAGGTACACTCCAAACATTTTACCCACAAAACCTTGTTTCACAGAGCATGTCAATGGCCTCGTGTTCTTCTGAACCATTTCTGAGAAATGTATTTCTGGGAAATGTAAATAGCACACCTGTTACGGTGGCCACCACTGCATGCCACACGGCCCCAGAACCTCAAATGAGCCTGAGCAGCCAGCTAGCTAACTACAGATACAGATATTTAACAGAAAGTGGGAAGAAATAATTACCTACACAGCAAAAATACTAATGGCCAAAACTACAGTATTAATATGGATAATTAAGGGCATTCTTGGCACTAAGCTGATGAGGTCCTAAAGTCTAAAGGACAATTATTCCTTCTGAGGGCTGCATTTGGTCTGATATGCAAACCACAGGTCCTTCAGGAGTGCATGGGTCCAGAGGAGAGAGCCATAAGCGAGCCTGCTTGGGGTCTGAGAGAGTAGCCAAGAGCTGAGACAGAAATATGGTATGTCACTAATATTAGATGTCCAGGCAATATATGGGAATGCATGTCAATCAAGTTCTGCATTTGGGGGAAAGTAAGAGAGCACACAAGGACTTCAAGCTCTCTCAGATTCCTACCATGAATGTGGGAAAAGTAGAGGAAGGATTCGAGCATGAATCAAGTGTCTGGCCACTAGGGAATTGTCCACTGTTGCTCAGTCACAGTCTGGGTACAGAGAGACAACAAAATACTACTGGGGAGCTCGTTTTGTTCGGTTTTGTTTTTAATGGTAAAAAGAATATTTAGTGTGAACCACACTTACCTGTCAAACTGCTCACTGAGGGAATCCTAAGCCTAGGAAGAGACCTAAATAAGACTAATGGTACATTTGCTGACAGCCTGCTGCTGGAAGTAGTAATTGGGGTAAAAGGTAACCAAAACACCGAAAATAGGAAAAAGCAGATCTCAAAGAAAGTGTCAACTTGGAAAGGGCAAATATTTTAGCCTACATGAAGAGGAACATAGGAAACATGTACGAAATACATACCAACACCGTAGCCACATTATTTGGAAAAGCCTTTACAAGAATGGAAAAAGAAGCAGTTATTGCCGCCGCAAAGCTGACTGCATCTGCCACTCTCACTAGAAAACACATAGCAATAAATATTGGTCCTTCTGGAACTTGATCCAATACACTAAAAAAGAACAAGACAATTCACAGATGCCAGGCTGGTTTCTATTGTATCTCGACTCACTGAAAATAGTATCTCACCCACAGTTCTCACAATAAATCTCTTTAGAATATGATTTTTTTTTTCAGTTGCTTTGTTATACTTTCAGTAGAAGGGAATTATCTCTTTGTTGGGTGACAGTCTGAGTCATAGTGACAGTTTCGTTGCCCTTTTGTGCTGACATAACTGGGCCTCTACATGATAATCCTAAATCGGCTTTCTGAAGTATGTAGAATCACTCCGACAAGAACATACACAAAAGAAAGACTCCTTGGTCTCAGGTACCCCTCAGTGGTAGAACTCAAATCTTTAAGGGAAAAAAAAAAAAAAAAAGAATACAGAAAATAGAAGGCCATCCCTCCTCCCCTGCAAAAAAAGAAAAAGTGAAAAAACAAAAAACAAACAAAAAAAACCACTTAGTTGGATATGAAGGCTTCCTGACCTTACTTCATCATAATCTTACCATACTCTTTCCATTCCTCTATGTTCCCCAAGAAGTTGTGCAGGCTCTTCCATATGATTTGCCACTTTGTTGTTGGTGCAAGGACTCTATGCTTAAGAACTTCTACAGCTATTTTGCCTCTGGCACTTATTTTCCCTTTTCTGGGGGAAACAGCACTGGGGGGAACCATTCCGAAGGGAGCACATGACTCAAACCCGGCCAATCAGAGCACCCCCCTCCCCCCCACTGCCCGTGTTGCAGGGATGGGTCACCAACAAAGATCAGGCCAATGGCTCCGTTCTGTGAATCTACTGGAAGCTCAGGAAAAGTGGGAAGCTGCTGGGGAATTCTTCCTATGGGAGCTGCTGGGGAACTCTTGCTACCACAAGGGGACAGCCTGTCCAAGAACACAAGAAGAGGAAAGCAAAACCAGGAGCTTGAGAAAGATTTCCGATGACGTTATTTTAACATCTGTCTCCTGAGGTGCTTCAGCTGATTCTTTAATGCAGGTTGCGCTTGAGCCACAATATATCCGTGACTCAGAAAAGTGAGTTAAGTTTCTGTCACTCACACTAGTAGGAGTCCTGATGAACAGATTCAGAAGCCACTTAACGGTAAGTCCTTAGAAGACCCTTTCCTTCATTTGCCCTATCCTCTAAACACCCAGTTCCCTTCACCAATAGCTACATGCTGGGCCCTCAACAGGCAATCAATGGTACTGACTGATTTAAAGAATCCATTAACATTTTAAACTGAAGATAAATGATGAAATCTGTTCAAGCTCCCAAACATATCAGAACATGACTTACCCAAAGAGAATTGTAACTCCTCCTGAGACAAACATTCCTGCTACAAACATAAATTTTGCTCCAATTTGTACAAGCTATAATAAATGTCAGAGAAGAGTGGTAAATTGATGACTGTTACAAGTCCACATCCACATAAACAAATCCACTGCATCAGAAAATATAAGGTTTAGGAAATATACATATACAATTAATATAAGATTATAATAATTCTTTAGTGGAATGACAACATACATTGCTTGCAAACATGGAATAAGTGAAAAATCAATCAACCCATTATGGTAAATGAAATAAGTCAGTCAGAGAAAGACCAATACCATATGATCTCATTCATTTGTGGAATTTAAGAAACAAAACAAACGAGCAAAGGAGAAGAAAGACACAGAGACCCAAACCAAGAAACAGATTCTTAACTATAGAGCACAAACTGATGGGTTACCAGAAGGGAGGTGGGGGGGATGGGGGGAATAGGTGATGGGGATTAAGGAGGGCACTTGTGATGAGCACCAGGTGTTTCATGGAAGTGTTGAATCACTATATTGTGCACCTGAAACTAATATTACACTGATGTTAACTAACTGGAATTCAAATAAAAACTTTAAAAAAAAAAATCAATCAACCCTAAGAATGGAACCATCAACACCATAATTCATAAAATATAATGGTGGCTATTTCTGTATCAATGGAAATTCTAGACTTACAAATTAGAATAACTCATTACACAATATATAAAAATTAAAATGTTCATATGAACTTTAATACTTACATATTTTCCGAATACCAAAGATGCCAGCAAGTCAAACAAAGCGTAACATCCAAAGATCATACCCGTAACTGTATTGCTGACTCCTTTCTTTTTAGCCTTTAAAGAAACAGAAAAGGAAACAAAGTTTGAAAGACAAATTCTCATGCATGTGGAAAGATGGAGCTATTAGATCAGAGCATTGTTTTCTTGTAACCTTTATCTGCATAGCAATTTCAAAGATTATCATTTTAAGATTTTTATTTATTTATTTGACAGAGAGAGAGAGAGCGAGAGCAGGAGCACAAGCAGGGGGAGTGGGAGAGGGAGAAGCAGGCTTCCTGCCGAGCAGGGAGCCCGACACGGGACTCGATCCCAGGACCCTGGGATCATGACCCGAGACGAAGGCAGACGCCTAACAACTGAGCCACCCAGGCGCCCCAAAGATTATCATTTTAAAATAAGCAGGATGGGGAAGGAAGGGAAACTAGAGTAAAACCTAGTCTCTGACATGAAAACTGTTCTCTCACCATACCCATAAGGAATTGTTGACTTTATAACCTTGAGAAAGAAAAACAAAGCTGGAGGCAACGTATTTCATGATTTCAAAAATAAATTACAGGGGTGCCTGAGTGGCTCAGTCGGGTAAGCATCTGACTCTTGATTTTAGCTCAGGTCATGATCTCAGGGTCATGAGATCAAGCCCCGCAGTGGGGCTCCGTGCTGGCCATAGAGTCTGCTCAAGATTCTCTCTCTCCCTCTCCCTCTCCCTCTGCCCCGCCCCCTGCCCCCACTTTCACACATGCATGCACACTCTATTAATTAATTAATTAATAACAAAGCTGAAGTAATTAAAACAGCATGGTACTGGCATAAAGACAAACATATGGAACAGATTAGAGAGCCTAGAATTAAACCCACACACATATGGTCAACTGATCTTCTACAAGGGTTTCAAGGACACAAGGAAGAAAGGATAGTCTCTTCAACAAATGGCACTGGGGAAACTAGACGTCCACAAAAAAAAAGAATGAATCGGACCCCTGTCTTACACCCACTCACAAAATGAACTCAAAATGACTTAAATATAAGACCTGAAACTGTCAAACTCCTCAAAGGGGGGTGCTTCTTGACGTTGGTCTTGGCAATGATTTCTTGGATTTGACACCAAAAGCTCAGGCAATAAAACCAAAAGTAGACAGATGGGATGAGAACTCGGCGATCAATAAGCCAAGGAGAGAGGCCTGAACAGACCCCTCCCTTACAGTCCTCAGAAGGAACCAACCTTGCCAACACCTTGGTCCCAGACTTCCAGCATCCAGAACTGTTAGACAATGAATTTGTTGTTTAAGCAACCCAGTTTGTGGTACTTCGTTATGGCAGTGCTAGCAAACTCAGTGGGCACTTCAACAGGAAGGTATCATCAAAGGAGTCAATAAAGATATGGAAAGAACATTCACTGGTCAAGTCCCATTATCCATGCATGTCCTTTGCTTAGTCGATCTGATAAGTATTTAATCCTAGAGTCTGGCATTATTTATACAATGGCTTTGCAACTAACATTTATTGGACTCTCACTATGAGCCAGGATCTCTATTAAGTGCTGTTTTACATGCTTTCTAACAACTGTTAAATAAGGTATGAATTTTTAGCTGGCCCCATTTTATAGATGAGGAGGCAGACGTGCAAAAATTACACGGTCATGGCAGCCATGATAGTTTCCATCTTGAGCAGGTTCCCACATTCGCTGTGGAGCTGGGATGGTGACTTCAGATATCCCGGAACTACATTCCATGGCAGCAGCTAAATATCACTTTTGGAATGTGGAGGCTGCTTCACATTAGAAAAGCACAAATAGCTATTAAAAGCAATTTCTAGTTCACATGTTGTCCTGTGACAAAGAAGGAGGGTGCCAGAAAAAGGATGAGTAGAAATAGGAATCTTGCACAAGAATTTAAGGGCCCTGTTTCTCCTTTGTCTAATTAGCTCTAGCTAATAGGAAGGATACATGCAGGAGGAAAGGTAAGTTTTCCCAGGGCATTTGGCAACCACTAGGCTTTATTTTAATAAGAAATGAAAAGGAAGAGCCCACTCTTTGTATCTAGATCTTTTAAAGTTAGAATGCTCTCTCCCTGCCTCTGTCTTCTTTCCTTCAGCCTTCCCTCCTGTAAACAAAAAAACTAAATCAAAAACTTAAAAGTACAGCATAGGGAATATCAATACTTCAGTAACTTTGAATGGTGACACATGGAAACTACATTCATTGTGGTGAGCACTGCATAATGTATAGAACTGTCTAATTGCTATGTTGTAGACATGAAACTAATATAACAATGTACGTCAACTCTATGTCAACTTTTTTTAAAAAGATTGGAAAAATTATTAACAAAATAATAAAAAATCAGGGCTCCTGGGTGGCTCAGTCGGTTAAGCGTCTGCCTTCAGCTCAGGTCATGATCTCAGGGTCCTGGGATCGAGCCCCACCTCAGGCTCCCTGTTCAGCGGGGAGCCTGCTTCTCCCTCTCCCTCTGCCCCTCCCTCACCTCGTGCTATCTCTCTCTCACTCTGCTCTCTCTCTCCATCAAATAAATAAATAAATAAAATCTTTAAAAAAATAAATTAAAAAAATAAAAAACCACACATCTGTACTCTGGTTTTCCTTTGTATTCCACTAAGAGGAAGCTAATATTAGTTGCTCTGAGTTCCAACTAAGCCAGGAAATGCTCTGCTAACTTGTTCCAGTTACTCTAGTTCTTCTCTTAATTCCAGAGGCTCTACCCATCATTTTATTTCCTGAAACCCAAAATTGATCAGGCTACTCTGTCTTGTTCAAACATCCCGGATGACTTCTCGCTGACATCTTTGGCATGCAGGGAAGGACCCTTGCCTTCCAGCTCCCCCTGCCTCCACTGATCTGCTGCCTCCACTTGGACCTCCCTCCAGCCCAGGCCCAAGCCACATCAAGTTGTCTGCTTTCCCCAAGAACATGCTATTTACTTTGGTAATCCCATGACTATCTCAACCTATTTCTTTCCTACAACACCTTCGCCTCTGTTGTTCACCTTGAGAACTACATTTCTCAAGACTCACCTTGGATCTATCCCATGAAGTCCCTTTGAGTACTACCCCTTTGTTTCCCTCTCTCTCTCCTTCCCTCACTACCCTCACACAGGACAAAATTAACCATTCCTTTCTCTAGAGTCTCCTAACAATTTGAATAGCCTTTTGGTAAAGGGTGTCCAAATACTCTGCAACTTACGTTTTTTTCACTCCCAATGGATTGACAAGAGAGGGACATTTTCCTGATCTCTTTTCTGCCCTAACACATCCAATGCCTGCATACCCTAGAGCGGGAGGCCATTAACCCTCCCACTCCCATTCAGTAAAGAGAAGTAAATTAGGCCGGTCACTGAACTCCTGAGTCTTGTCTTCGTTGGCAACATGATCGGATTCTTACTATTCTGCCTATCCGTTATGGAGTAGCTGCAGAGACCAAATGGGATAAACATGTGGGAAAGCACACGGAAAACTAAAAAGCACTGTATGGGTACAGAGTCACATTGTTCCTTCAGCAGAAAAGCCATTTCCATCCTCCTTGGTAACGCACAGAATGAAGGACTCCATGTTATCAAGGCAGTGAGAGGACTGAGAGTGCAGTAAGAGCTGAGGCTTTGGCAAAGAGTGCAAAGCCAGTACCAGTCCTTTCAGGCTACATCCCACCCACCTCCAGATTTCAGGTGGATTTTCGAGGAGTTAATTCCCTTCGAGTCTGTGTCAGGGCACCAAGGTGGCTCAGTTGGTTAAGCGTCTGCCTTCAGCGGGAAGGCTGTTTCTCCCTCTGCCCTACTCTCTCTCTCAAATGAATAAATAAAACCTTAAAAAAAAAAATTCCCTTTGAGTCTGTGTCATGACCTATAAAGCCACATAAAAGGCAATGATTGGAAGGAACTAGCAAATATTAATCTGAATTCCTCCTTGGCACAAACCATCACTACTAGATCCCATAAGAAATTCAAGTCGAAAAAGGGGGATTTAGTGGGACCATGTCTTTCTAATTCCAAAATCTTAATAAGCTAAAAACTCCAGGAGACAAACTTCCGGTCTTAGCATAGACCTTTTGCAATAATGCTAAAATCTCGATTACTCAGAGCACCCCCTTTGTTTCAGTTGCAGAAACCAAACAAAGATTGATCAAACTACATGGTAAGCAAAGTAATCCTCAGAAGATCAATTATATTTAGGTGAGTTATCTCCCAAGAGGATTTTCTTTCTGACTGGATTTTTTTCTCTGGTATCAAATAATCCATCAGAAGTCTTACTGTTTACTAAAGTTATATGCATCATCTTTACTAAATGCAGATTTTTACATTTTACACACCATAAAATGAAATAATTCAAAGTGCTTCTTAAAAAATTAAAATTCATAAAAATATAAAAATGTCTCACCTCCTTGGGGAAAAAGGGTCCAAGGATAGAATAGCACATCATAGAACCCAAGTTAATGGAAGCTGCTGATATCAGTACAAAGAGCTGTTCTCTTGAAAGCTGTCTGGGTGTCTCTCTTGCATTTCCTGGAGGGTCATCACCTTAAATGCAAACATGCTACAATTACAGGCATATAATTGGGATTACTGATCAAAGTTTGCCGCTTTTGTGCACGCTGAAGATAATATTTGCAGAGCTAAGAGCTATTTTGAATATAGCACATTTGACCAAATGTAATTGAAAACATATCATTTTCAGGACAGAATTTATCAAACCATCTGATCTGTCTTGCCTTCACTATTTCTTCCACCTTAATAAATTCCTTCAAGAAGGAGGAGGCAACAAGGAGATCTCCAAAGGGTACTGCTCTCTAAAGTATAATGTAATTTCTCCAGTTACTAACTTCATATATATGCTACATGGACTCAAAATGTTCTAAGCACGTCAAGTTAGCTGTTCATTAAGCATTCTAGGGTAGTATTGAAGTTAAGTGTAAGCAGGAGAAACAAGCTAAAGCATTTAATTGGCGAATGAATACTTACAATGGAATGCTGCTGGAAAGACAAGTCCCACAAATCCACACATATGTTACATAATAACTGGCCTTTTGCATTGACTCTTTCAATACTTATTTTCAGGGCTAAGTGTTCATTTAATTTAAAGGCAACAGGTCAATTACTCAGTTTCAAATATTCAGCAAATTTATCATTTTTAAATTCAACGGCTTGGAGAAAAAGAAATTCAAGTAAGAAAACTACTTGGTTTGCTCTACTTTTCAGAGGTTGCTATTGCAGTCCAGGAAAAAAATAATCTGTGCAAGATGAGGAAGTCTCAAGAATCTCTGTAAAACTTCTGGAATAGATGAGGAAGGGAACTGAAAGTTAAAGGAGGGAGCAACAGTAGGTGCTCGAAATGTAATGTTCACCTTTGTCTAATGGCATCTTATTTGAATGCGTTCCCAAACACACGGTATTTATAAAAGCAGCGCTACAGAGGAGAAAAGTCTTCAGAGACTTCGCTCACCCCGGCCCTGAACTTTAACCCGCTCCGGAGAGAGAGAAACTCTAACCCGAAGCCCCCCGCCAGGCCCCAGCCTTTTCGAACCTCTCCCAAACCAACCAAGCTAAAACTAATTCAATCGTCGATAAAGGGGACAGAACCCACGCCACCAAGGGGTGTCCGTCCGCGCCGCTCTCGGTTACCTCCGCGGAGGCGTGGGCCCTCCTGGTCCCCCCGCGCGTCCATGCGCGCGATGCGCGGTGCGCGGAGTCTGGCGCCGCGGCTCCGGGGTCCAAGCCCGCGGGCGCCCTCGGACTCGACCTCGCAGGAGCCACGAGCTGGCGGCGCGTGCTCAGCCTGACCCTGGCATTGTCGAGTCCCCTCGGGCAGCGGTGGCCCTGGAGCTGCCCGCAGCGTGGGAGGACACCTAGGCGCTCCGGGAGGCGGGGCGGGGGCGGGGGCAGGGCGGGGGGGGGGGGGGTGGAAGAGCGCCTTTTTTTTTTTTTTAAAGACACAGGGTACTACCATACTTCACGCCCTTGGATAAGCTGTACTTTTCATTCTGTATGGGGTGGGGTGGGCGGAGAACTACCTACATTCCTCCTAGCCTAAAATGAGTAAAATGTATTTCCACCAAAGGTAAGAAAGGAAGCTGACATAGGCAGAGAAAAGATAGGCTACCACCTTACTGTCACAATCACAACTTGCGCGTGCGCGCGCGCACACACACACACACACACACACACAGAGGCTTCACTTATCTTCAGCCTTATTTACTATTTGGGAACAGTTAACGTTTGAGGCCTGGGAAATTCTTGATTTGGGGCCAACACAAAATTTAAAAGACTATTGAGTTACCACCTTGTTTCAGTCATTGTGAATTTAGAGATGAATGAGCCTCCATCCAGCCTCAAGTAGCATACCTCCACCTAGCAGGTAAAACAGACACCTATGTTAATAATTTATTGTGATGCAGTGAGTTCTGTAATAGAAACATATTGGAAGAACTACTTACTTTGGCTAAGTGAGGCCAGAATGGCTTCCTGAGGAAGAGATGTTACCTTGGGTCTTGAAGTTTATGCAGAAATTCCTTGGGTAGGTAAGAAGAGTCTTTAGAGCCATTCAAAATAGAAGGATTAGCTGTAGCCCAGCTTCTTTCAAGTGGCTTTCCAGAATCTTACTTTCTAACCCCCACTAGCTTCTCCAATCACAATGTACTCTACAGTCCCTCTCCAATCTAACATCAAACCATAAAGGGGAAATTTTTTTGAATTATTTCTTTGATGATTACATTTCCTTTTTTGTTCTTTCTGGACTGCTCCTTATGCAGATATTGGGTCCTCTAGAGTGGCCCTCCTATTATTCTTTTTCTCTTCTACTTTTCATCTCTTACTGTTCTTGGTCCATCTTATAGGAATTTCCCCCTACTTTATCTTCCAGTCCTTCAGCTGAATTTTTCATTTCTATTGTCATTTATTTCTCTCTATCCCCATTTTCATCCCCTGCATCAGCAATCATTCCTGCATGTTTTTTAAATTTTATTTTTAAGTAATCTCTACACCCAATGTGGAGCTCAAACTTACAACCCCAAGATTAAGAGTTGCATGCTCTACCCAATGAGCCAGCCAGACACCCCATTCTTGCATGTTTAATACAAATCTTTTTGTTTGTATATATCTTCATAAAATGTATACTCTTATTTTGCACCCAACTATTTTTCATTTATATAAAGTGTATTGTGGTATATATTCATATTCCTAACTTCCTTTCCACTTCTATCTGCTACCTCCTATCTTCCCTTCACATGATCAATGTGACAGGGGAATATATTATCATATTAGTTTTCTGGGATTGCTGTAACAAATTTCCACAAACTTGGTGCCTTAAAACAACAGACTTGAAGGCCAGAAGTTCAACACCAATTTCACTGAGCCAAAGTCCCCAAATGATCACCTCTTCTCAAGATCTTTAACTTAATCTGCATGGACCCTTCTTTCAAATAAGGTGACAAGTTCCAGAGATTGGGATGTGAACATATCTTTGGGAGCCATTATTAGCCTACCACAAGTAACCATTCATTGAAGTTTTATATACTCATCATAGACATATGGACACATATGGAAACTATGGAAACATTTCTTTTTTTTAAAGTGGAATATTTTGTTTAAATGCTACTTCCTCAGAGAAGTTCATTCTTGGAGGATCTTTTTATTGGATATAGAAATATGGGGAGAGAGTTGTTATCTTTCAGCCTCTTCAGGACATGGTTCTACTGTTTTTGGTCGCTATAATTCAAGACAAATCAGTATAATTTTGAATGTTATGTCCTGGCTGCTTTTTGGAATTTTCTTGTTTTCTTTGAGTTTCAATAATTCACTTATATCTGTCTAGGTATGTGTGTAGTTTTTTTCAAATTTTTATTTAAATTCTAGTTAGTTAACATACAGTGTAATACTGGTTTCAGTAGTAGAATTTAGTGATTCATCACTTACATGTTATACCCAGTGCTCATTACAAGTGCCCTCCTTAATACGCATCACCCATTTAGCCCATCCCTGCCCACCTCCCCTCCATCAACTCTCAGTTTGTTCTCTCTAGTGAAGAGTCTTTTATGGTTTGCTTCCCTCTTTTTTTCCCTTCCCCTATGTTCATCTGTTTTGTTTCTTAAATTGCACATATGAGTGAAATCATGTTATTTGTCTTTCTCTGACTGACTTATTTCTCTTAGTATAATACCCTCTAGCTCCATCCACATCACTGCAAATGGCAAGATTTCATTCTTTTTATGGCTAATATTCCATTCTGTGTGGGGTGCCTGGGTGGCTCAGTCGTTAAGCATCTGTCTTTGGCTCAGGTCATGATCCCAGGGTCCTGGGATCGAGCCCCGCATTGGGCTCCCTGCTTGGCGGGAGGCCTGCTTCTCCTTCTACCACTCCCCCTGCTTGTGTTCCCTCTCTCACTGTCTCTCTGTCAAATGAATAAAATAAAAATCTTTAATAAGAAAAAATATTCCATTCTGTGTGTGTGTGTGTATACACACACACACACCCACACACACCTTCTTTATCCATTCATAAGTTAGTGGACCTTTGGGCTCTTTCCATAGTTTGGCTATTGTTGATAATGCTGCTATAAACATCAGAGTGTGTGTGCCCCTTCGAATCAGTATTTTTGTATCCTTTGGGTAAATACCTAGTAGTGCAATTGCTGGGTTGGTAGGGTAGTTCTATTTTTAGCTTTTTGAGGAAGCTCCATACCCTTTTCCAGAGTGGCTGTACCAGTTTGCATTCCCACCAACAGTGTGAGAGGGTTCCCCTTTCTCCACATCCTCACCAACATCTGTTGTTTCCTGTGTTGTTAATTTTAGCCATCCTGACAGGTGTGAGGTGGTAATCTCATCATGGTTTTGATTTGCATTTCCCTGATGATGAGTGATGTTGAGCATCTTTTCATGTGTCTGTTAGCCATCTGGATGTCTTCTTTGGAAAAATGTCTGTTCATGTCTTCTGCCCATTTCTTAACTGGATTCTTTGTTTTTTGGGTGTTGAGTTTGGTAAGTTCTTTATAGATTTTGGATACTACCTCTTTATCAGATATGTCATTTGCAAATATCTTCTCCTATTCCATAGGTTGTTTTTTAGTTTTGTTGATTGTTTTCTTCACTGTGCAGAAGCTTTTTATCTTGATGAAGTCCCAATAGTTCACTTTTGCTTTTGTTTCCCTTGCCTCCGGAGACATGTCTAGCAAGAAGTTGCTGCTGCCAAGGTCAAAGAGGTTGCTAGCTGTGTTCTTCTTTGGGATTTTGATGGTTTCCTATCTCACATTTAGGTCTTTTATCCATTTTGAGTTTATATTTGTGTGTGATGTAAGAAAGTGGTCTAGTTTCACTCTTCTGCATGTAGCTGTCCAGTTTTCCCAAAACTATTTGTTGAAGACACTGTCTTTTTTCCATTGGATATTCTTTTTTGGTTTGTCAAAGATTAGTTGACCATATAGTTGTGAGTCCATTTCTGGGTTTTCTATTCTATTACACTGATCTATGTGTCTATTTTTGCACCAGTATCATACTGTTTTGATGACTACAGCTTTGTATTATAGTTTGAAGTCCAGGATTGTGATGCCTCCAGCTTTGCTTTTCTTTTTCAAGATTGCTTTGGCTTTTGTGGTTCCATACAAATATTAGGATTGTTTATTCTAGTTGTTTGAAAAAATGCTGGTGATATTTTGATAGGGATTGCATTAAATGTATAGATCACTTTGGATAGTATGGACATTTTAACAATATTTGTTCTTCTAATCCATGAGCATGGAATGTTCTTCCATTTCTTTGTGTCTTCTTCAATTTCTTTCATAAGTGTTCTATAGTTTTCAGAGTACAGAACTTTTACTAATTTGGTTAGGCTTATTCCTAGGTATCTTATGGTTTTGGGGGTAATTGTAAATGAGATCAATTCCTTGATTTCTCTTTCTGCTGCTTCATTATTGGTGTATAGAAATGCAACAGATTTCTGTGCATTGGTTTTATATCCTGCAACTTTGCTAAATTTGTGTATCAATTCTAGTAATTTTTTGGTAGCGTCTTTTGGGTTTTCTACATAGACTATCATGTCATCTGCAAATAGTGAAAGTTTGACTTCTTCTTTCTTGATATGGATGTTGTTTATTTCTTTTTGTTGTCTGATTGCTGAGATTAGGACTTCCAGTACTATGTTAAATAACAATGGTGAGAGAGAACATGTCTGTCTTGTTCTTGACTGTTGAGGAAAAGCTCTCAGTTTTTCCCCATTGAGGATAATATTAGCTGTGGGTCTTTCATATATGCCCCACATATATGTCTCTACTTTGTTGAGTGTTTTTATCAAGAATGGATGCTGTATTTTATCAATTGCTTTTCCTGCATCTATTCAGAGGATCATATGTCTTATCCTTTCTTTTATTAATGTGGTGTATCACATTGATTCATTTGCAAATATTGAACCAGCCCCGCAGCCCAGGAATAAATCCCGCTTGATCATAATGAATAATTCTTTTAATGTACTGTTGGATTTGATTTGCTAGTATCTTGTTGAGGATTTTTTTTTTTTTTTTTGCATCCATGTTCATCAGGGATATTGGCCTATAATTCATTTTAGTGGGATCCTTGTGTGGTTTTGGAATCAAGGTAATGCTGGCCTCATAGAATGAGTTTGGAAGTTTTCCTTCCATTTCTATTTTTTGGAACAGTTTGAGAAGAATAAGTATTAATTCTTCTTTAAATGTCTGGTAGAATTCCTCTGGGAAGCCATCTGGCCCTGGACTTTTTTTGTTGGGAGATATTTGATTACTGATCCAATTTCTTTGGTTATAGGTCTGTTCAAATTTTCTATTTCTTCCTGTTTCAGTTTTGATAGTTTGTAGGTTTCTAGGAATTTGTCCATTTCTTCCAGATTGCCCAGTTCGTTGACATATAATTTTTCATAATATACTCTTATTATAATTGTTCATATTCCTGTGGTGTTGGTTGTGATCTCTTTCATTTGTGATTTTATTTATTTGGGTCCTTTCTCTTTTCTTTTTGATAAATCTGGGTAGGGGGTTATCAATTTTATTAATTCTTTTAGAGAACCAGCTCTTAGTTTCATTGATCTGTTCTACTGTTTTTTTTTTTGTTTGTTTGTTTCTATATCATTTATTTTTGCTCTAATTTTTATTATTTCCCTTCCTCTGCTGGCTTTAGGCTTTATTTGCTGTTCTTTTACTTGCTCCTTTAGGTGTAAGGTTAGGTTGTATATTTGAGACTTTTCTTGCTTTTTGAGGTAGGCCTGTATTGCTATATACTTCCCTCTTAAGACTGCTTTGCTGCATCCCAGAGGTTTTGGACTTTTATGTTTTCGTTTTCATTTGCTTCCATGTATTTCTTTATTTCTTCTTTAATTTCCTGGTTAACCCATTCATTCTTTAGTAGGATGTTCTTTAATCTCCATGTATTAGTGGGTTCCCAAATTTTCTCTTGTGGTTGACTTCAAGTTTCATAGCATGTGGTGTGAAAATATGCTTTGTATGATCTCAGTCTTTTTGTAGTTGTTGAGGCCTGATTTGTGAGCCAGTATGTGATCTATTCTGGAGAATGCTCCTTATGCACTCAAAAAGAATGTGTATTCTGTTGCTTTAGGATGAAATGTTCTAAATGTGTCTGTTAAGTCCATCTGGTTCAGTGTGTCAATCAAAGCAATTGTTTCCTTGTTGGTTTTTTGCTTAGATGATCTGTCCATTGCTATAAGGGGTGTTAAAATCCCCTACTATTATTGTATTATTACCAATGAGTTCCCTTATGTTTGTTATTAATTAATTTATATATTTGGATGCTCCCAAATTGGGGCATAAATATTTACAATTGTTAGATCTTCTTGTTGGATTGACCCCTTTATTATGATATAGTGCCCTTCTTCATCTCTTGTTATAGTCTTTGGTTTAAAATCTAGTTTGTCTGATATAAGTATGGTTATTCTAGCTTTCTTTTCACACCCATTAGCATGATAGATGTTTCCCTATCCCCTCACTTTCAATCTGCAGGTGTCTTTAGGTCTAAAATGAGTCTCTTACAGGCAGCATATAGATGGGTCTTGATTTTGTGTGTATGTGTGTGTGTGTGTGTTTAATCCATTCTGATACCCTATGTCTTTTGCCTGGAGAATTTAGTCCATTTACATTCATAGTGATTATTGATAGATATGAATTTAGCACCATTGTATTACCTGTAAATTCATTGTTTCTGGAGATTTTCTCTACTCCTTTCTAGTCTTTGTTGCTTTTGGTCTTTCTTTCCCACTCACAGTCCCCTTTAATATTTCTTGCAGGGCTGGTTTTGTGGTCACAAACTCCTTTAGTTTTTGTGTGTCTGGGAAACTCTTTATCTCTCCTTCATTTAGGGACTGAGCATGGTGTGGACCCGCGCTGGTCCTCTGGCGGATGGTCTTGCCCCACTGTGGTTTGTCCCAGAATAGCAGTCGCAGGACTGCACAAGGGCTTGGAGTTTATGCTAAAGCACAGCAAAAAGCTGGCATCCAGGTTAGTTACCCTCAGGCGCCTCTTCTTGTATGCTAATGAATGTGGCAGTTCAGTGGAGCCCTCCCACTCTTTTGTTCCCTGAGAGGCAGGGCCACCTCTCCCAAATGTACTTCAAGAAGGGGAACTGTCTCTCCCAGGAGGACCCAGGGGATCCTCAGAGGATGCTTCCACTCTCTGATCTCTGTCCTCCATCTCCTTCACAGGAGCATTGCTGTGCCCACCAGGCTTTACCCTGGTGATGATGCAGACTTCTAAAACCAGACTTTCGGGGCACCTGGGTAGCTCGGTCATTAAGCATCTGCCTTCGGCTCAGGTCAGGATCCCAGGGTCCTGGGATTGAGCCCTGCATCGGGCTCCCTGTTCTGCGGGAGGCCTGCTTCTCCCTCTTCACACCCCCTGCTTGTGTTCCCTCTCTCGCTGTGTCTCTCTCTGT